TTTGTCATTATGTCAGAAAACGCCATCTGGTAACAAGGTACTCAACCGCAATTATCAGATTCGATAACCAGGACTAGGACTCCGAATTTATTAAAATGCGTGTTGGAGTTATCATCATTTATTTATGTTAGAGCACCCCTCCACTTTCCTTTTAGAGATAGAGTATCCATCAATATAAGAAAATTTTACAGAAAACCGGATTTAAAATTCAAGATGGCAACTACACACTCTCGCGGCCATTTCAGAACCTCAAAAATAATTTTCAGCATGTTCTCTTAGCCGATTTATTTAATTTTTATATACCGTATACTCGTTGCGCTGGTATAATAGTCTTAATATCTTCACACACGTGTAATAAGTATTCAGTGACATTAACAGCGTAAAAAACATGACATCGCGTATCAGAAGAAGTAGGAAATTCGAACTATAACACAAACAAATGCGATGATTCGCGTCGATTTGTTCTAATCGATTGCTGAAAGCAACTACAACCCTGCTATAGCCCAATTTCCGTTGCTATCTCGTTACGTTTTTCACGTCCGCCTAATTGACGCGCCGCAATTAAAACAATTAAATTAACGTAATTAAACGTGCGGGAACTGATAAATGGCGTCGCGCGAATTTTTTCTCCTTTTAATCCGGGCGACTAGTTGCGGCGCGAATCCTCAAAGGGACCGTTGAATTATAAACGGTCTCTCGAAATGCGAACCTTTAAGCGGCTGTCGTTAAGCATTTTAAATAAATAGCTCCAATTTTACACTAATTAAAAAAGGCTGTAAATGTCGTGTACGTGAGCGATGGTCGGAATGGATCGAGAGAAACGCTCCGAAGCCAGCGATCTCGGTTTTTGAACTTCCTTTTAGCCGATGTTGAGTTTGGTGCTGATAGACGGAAAATTGGATAAACTATTTAAAATTGACTTCACCAGGGTCCATGCTGACGTCATCGATTGTCCGACCTTCAAAAATAGACCAATTATGAACAGAAAACACGACGTTTTTCTGTTATCAGCTTGTCAACGCTTGTCCTATTTAAAATACAAAAATGGCTATCGTTCAAAGGCTGTTTTTAAAGTCAATAATTAATAAATTTGACCAAAAAGTACCAAGCTATAATAAGGGTAAAAGACAAATTCGTTGGATCATTAATTTTTCTCAAAAATTTGATACCTTTGACATTTTCACTGATTTTAACGCTTTACCTTTCTTTTCTTTTGCAAATGGAAATCATTGCGATTTCGCAATACAATACAACTTCGCAAGATCTGTCACATAAACGCGTGCAATTTTTTTGTTTTTGCGATAAATATTTGTTTATTTTAAACACTCTATAGGTGTAATTTATGTGTGTATATTGAAAAACACTTATTTTTATGTTTTATTTTTATTGCCAAACTAGTTTAAATTTGCAACAAAATATAGTATATGACTTACCAGCCGTCGTTGATTAAGTTTACCGCCACTAAATAGCAGCGTTGCCAACCCCAATTTAAAAAAAAATTACACACGTTTTATACGACAGTAGAAGTTGGTATCGATTTCCCTAGCGAATCAATTCGGCGTGACAGAATGGTTCTAAGTATATTTTCGGGTAGGACGGTGCGCTGTCGGGCCCTACTATAGCCATTATAAAACAATTATTCACTATTATAAAGGTTTTGAGTAAAAAAGATCACAATTCAACTAAGCCGCTAATAGTGCTGAAAGCAGAGCTAAATTCCGCTTGTTAACCACAAAATGTTGCTGACAAAGTTGTATCGCAATATTCACATTTTTATATACATATTCTAACTAACCAAAAATGTGAAAATTAATATCGGATTGCGATATTAATATGCAGTTAACTGCAATATAAGGTTTTGTCAATTTAAAATTTAGGTTTACATTGAAAAACGGTTGACAATTTTTGTTTGACCTGTTTAAAGCAGCAACAGTAGTTTTCTAATTTCCACAAAAAGAATTAATAACTTTGTTTCGGTATAAAACGGTTATTCACTATTATATGTAGGAAACACCACACGCGAACTGCAGCCTCCAATTGGCAACATTGCTGAAGAAGAAGGTAAACTTCAGCTTCATAGAAATCGTTCAATTTTTCTAATTTTGTTTAGTGCTTTTTGACGTTTCAAAAACCATTTTTTTCATCCACAAATGTAAAAATTTATGTCAGATTGTAGTATTATTGTGCAGTTAACTGCAATTTAGGGTTTCATCGCTTCGAACGAGCAACCACAGTGTATTAATTTCCTCAAAAAGAACTAGCAAATTTGCTCCGGTATAAAATGTCATTCAGGCGTCAAGTCCATCAACGTTAGCCTGTTTTCTTCGGCATAAACCAAACGTCACTTTGTCGTCTTTTGTGGCGTCGACTCCAACTTGCGTTTCGCGCTAAAGCAGCGTAACAAGTGCTTCTAATTGAATATAAAAGACTTTCGGGCAAATCGCGTTGGTCGTCGTCAAGCAGGGTCACGGTGCCGTCTATCGCCTTTCGAGATCTTCCTGTGGCCCGGCAAAAAATAAGCAAAAGACCGAAATGGGTCTCCTCCGCCGTATTGCAGCGAGCCATGAATCGGACGCAAGCACAGTCTTTTGTTCTTGCCATGGTTAATAACGTTCACCACGGGCACGGGGCGAGGCGGGCCTCGGGGGGGAGGGCGGCTGACGCGGCGACATTCCACCGGTCCGTGGGAAATATATCCGAGGGGCCGATGCCGGACAATCGCGCCACCACGTTGCCAACTCGTGCGGTTTTTTCCCGATCGCACCGGAACTTTCTGGAAGTCCGCTAGAAAGTCGGGCTGTCACTTTTTTAAGCCTACGTTGTTTTGTAACAAGAGATGTTTGGCGTGGTACAATAAAGCTTGCCCGAAATTGCAAGGAGAATTTGCAAAGTTCACATATTGCCTGCAATAATTTTAAATCTTGCTTGTCGCTTGACAGGATCGAAGGCTCTATGATTACGAACATCAAACAAACGATCGGCCACTCAGCTAGTCAATTAATTTTTCAGATGGCATTTTGTAACGACGTTGACATTTAGAGGGTTCCTAATGCAAAGGCAAGAACAACGGCATCGACCGGTAAAAATTTTGATCAAACGAAATTAGATTTTCCTCTCACGAAATACATTTTTTTATGGCATATTCAATTATGTGAAGTAGAAAAATATATTGATTAGTGCGTGTCGTACTGTTGAAAACTTTTCTGCTAAATCTAACAAACGTCGTATTAAAAAAAATCAAGAGGAGCTATCAAATAGTATTTTGAAATAGTATGTTATGCAACAAGTGCGGTAAACGGCATTTGATTCACGAGTTTATGTGACACGAGCGAAGCGAGTGTTTAATAAACGGGTGACTTAAAAAGTTTACCGAACGTGTTGCATACTATACTTTTTCTACGACCGTTAGTTTTTGGGTACATTTTCGCCAAACAACACAAATATATTCACTGACATGGCCGTCAAAATTGACAAACGTCAAATTGCAGGAGTGAGAAATATCTCCGAAATCATCCGATTGCTCCCAAACTCGTGCGGTAAAACACCGGAAATGTCCGAAGTGGCTCGGAAATAAAATTGACGTGGTAAAGTGACGCTTCCCGCACGCTAGATCGGTAGGTAATTAGGTATTTTACAGACGGGAGTAGAAAAAGAATTTTTTTGAATGTTATCATTCATATTTAAGGTCATTGCATAAAATGTATCCGATTCCGTGAAAAGTTAAGGTAAGAATAATTAAGTGAAATCCAGAAAATAACATTTAAGGAAGAATAACAATAATCAATCACCCAATATGAAAGACAAAAATACGATGTGATATGCGCTATCATAAAAATAAAGACAACCGTTAAAGTTTTTCTACTTTCATTATAATTGGCAAATGGTGCTTTGAGTCTGTATGTACATTTTTTACAATAGGTTTTTTGAGGATCATTTTTAGGAAATAGGTTTTAAAAATTATTTCTCATATTTTTTTAGGGAATTTCGAGACTGCGGTATGATTCTATTTTGTTAATATCTTTTACTAAATTAGATTGTATCAAAATAATTTATTTTTAAACTAGCGGGCACTTCCTACATTTGGTATGGAAATATTTTAAAAATATGCTTAATGGTGCCATCTGTTGGGTAGTAGATAAACCACTCGGTTTGATTTCCAACTTGATTCAAGGTTTCTCCATATTCAATTCCATTGAATTTTTCATAAATGGAATTCATCTATTGAGCAACAGATAAAATTAGAAACCAAAGGGAAAAAAAGGAAAGTTTCAAATATTTCACAATGAATTATTTTTATACCTGTTTAAACTATATTTATAGTTATTGAACATTTCTTGTGATCCCACTAATTATGAAATGAGGTAAAACAACGTAGGCGCATGATGCAGAATAACAGCAAATGTCCAGAAATTAGTTTTATGGAATATCACATTTTCATTGAAAATTTCGATGATGCTATCCCTAAATGGATAAGATAAAAACGATTGATAAGTTATTTATCCGGTAATATCTAACACTAGGCAAATGGGTGCGGTCTGTTGGGTATTCGAATAAATTCTCATCGTTTAAATTTTATAAATAGTACAATCATGTGTCGATATTTTATATTATTTTTTATACAGTTCATTAACGCGCAGATAATACAAAGTAAGTATGAACTCGTTTCTTATATGGATTTCTGTAAAAAAAAACTCCATTCGTTAATTGCTTAAGCCAGTTGCTTGATGTAAGTTCGACTGCATTTCTATTTTTGTGATGCACATGGGCTATAATCTACTTATGTATGTGTATAAAAATCGATATTTTAAATTACTAACAGTATATTTTAATCAGCACTAACTAGATCCACACAATTTTGAATACCTACCACACTAAAGCTACCTCATGAAATTTGTATATGAAACTTATTAAGCTAATAATAGGGGATAGGTTATGTCACTAAAAGGCAACGAGAACCGTGAACATTACCTTGTAAATTTTAACTTATCTCGAACGCACTTCTTAGTAATTTGACAGGTGGGCGTAGTTTGGAAATCACGATATAAGATTTAAATTATTTTATTTGTTATAACCTGCATCATCAGGAGACTGATCTCGGTGAATCATAATAAAATTCGTCCACTCGGTGTTAATTTATTGTGTGACATTAGTCGCGGCGGATGTACATAACTTACTACTGAATTATTTATTGAATTGCTCCGTCTTAATTGTTTGAGGTTATATTTGTTATGATTTCTTATAACCTTATTTTGCTTTTTCTTTTTTTGTTGGATAGAGAATGTGCGGTGTCTGTGCAGTTACGTAAGTTTTTTTTTTAATTTTTTGTTATCCGGAAATTGCAGTGATGCCTTTTTTGCTTATGTGTTTGGAAGGATTAATGTACAATATTAGTCTTCTTCTTCTTCGTGCGTTTTACTTAGGCGAACCCAGCTTCACGCATTTGTTTTTGAAAATTACTTACTACTATGTTAGCGGGGAAACGTCGGGTCATAGTTTGATAAAAAAAATAATGTCCTCTCCTCTGCCTGTAAATAAATTTCTCATGGTCGCTCTCAGGAATGAGATCTTAGAGCCAACTGTAGTTGCCATTTAGAAATATTTGCACAAAGCAGCGTTTACACATCATAAAGATGGACTAAGTGGTATAGAAAATATACTTGGTTTCCAATTTGCCAAAGTCCGTCTCCGACCTATTACCAGAGTAATTTAATATGAAATTTTTGCTATACCAAAGTCTAGCAGAGAGTTCTTTCCCACATTTCATCATTGTACGTTGTCAATGATGGCTGATAATTATTGACCACATAGCTACTAGAGATATAGAGGCCCTGTCTATTCGGATAATACAGGAACTTATTTAAGCAACTATGAAAAATATTTTGAGAAGGTCTATTCAACATGCACATCTCGTTTTTAACCAATGACCTTGCGGCATTCAACATCCAACATGACTGCTGACAAATTGTCAATAAGTTTGGATATGGCATTTTTGCGGCAATATTTTCTCAAAGTGTGTCTAAAAACCGTTAAATCCAAAGGCAAAAAAGAATTGAGTGTGTGGATATTGCTGGTTATAAAGAAAATGGCTCAATAAAGTGCAGGTTAGTTGGCAAATTTAGAGGCTTGCGCAGATCATTCCGATCTCTACGAAAATATCATAACCACCTGAAGCGCATAAATTTTTGTGCATAGTAAGGCCACTATATTATCGAATAGCTATATGTTATTGATGGGAGGGTAAACTTGGATTTTATTTCCAGATAAGTTATGCACACATACCGACTACGGGGACGCATGTGCGCAAATACAACGAGACCAAGTTCTCGAATGCCAAAAGGTGACCTCAGTGTAAGTTTAGTATATACTGTGGTAATAGTTGAAATATTTCGATCACCTTAACATAAACCATAGTGTTCATCCGCAAAATCAATTTTTTCTGCTCCCTTCGGACATTTCCGGGACATTACTTCACGGGTTTTGGTAGTAATCGGATGTTTTCGGAAATGTATGTATGTAATATGGAAGAGAATAAGGAAATTGAATACAATAGTATGTTATGCAACAAGTGCGGTAAATGGTATTTGACTCACGAGTTTTAATAAACGAGTGACTTAAAAAGTTTACCGAACGTGTTGCATACTATACTTTTTCTACGACCGTTAGTTTTTGGCTACATTTTCGCAAAACAATTCAAGGCGTGGGAAATATCTCCGAAAACATCCGATTACTCCCAAACCCGTGCGGTAAAATCCCGGAAATGTCCGAAGTGGCTCAGATCCGTGACAAAGTGACGCTTCCCGCACGTTAGATTCGTGTGTAATTTAAACATCTTTAAGGGGTGAATTATACCGTTCCATACTTTATAATCTTCTCCCAAAAAAAACTTGAACCAAATTTTGAAATCAATTTACTTTGCAAATTTTTACTATTTTTTTACTGGTTTAACTTTAGTGTATTATTTTTGGTTGCGTATATGATTGCTACCGCTTTGTGCCTAATTTAGTTCATGTAATCTGCCCCTCTCCTACCTTCAAGTTGGGAAATATTGTTAATGTACGATATAGCTAGATGGTAGACTAGATAGAGGTTTGTTTTGGTCTTATAATCCTGCCGGTAATATTTATGAAGATCTTCGGAAGTTGAGCATGAAAGTTGATAAAGGTCGAAAAGAAAATGTATATATATTTCTTCCATTTTCTTTATTTCTGGAGTTCACAGTGTGACTGTTTTATCCATAGAGCCGACTGCATTATAGCTGCCGATACTGGACTACCCAGCCTCAGCGTTTTGACAGCAGAAGAGGCGCTATTGGGTGCTTCCCAAGTTACCGGATCCGCTTCAGTGATTGGCGAAATCATTGGGGATCTACCTTACCAAACAGCGGTTCTCGTCCGTTCCAGCTTCACTGGCGGATTCGAGAACCTCAAAGGGTCTCGGTACTGCCACCCAGGATACGACCATGACGAGCTCGTCACCAAATTCGTGTTGGAAGAATTGGAGTGGAAGATTATCAGTTTGGCTTGTAGCAACGGTACCATCGTTGAACAGAAATTTAGCGCTCTAGCGTCGTTCTTCGGCGATTCTTGTAGACCTGGAAGATGGACCCAGGATGACGCACTGGACACCAAACTAAGTACTGCTGGAGTCGCTAAAATATGTAGCTGGACGTGAAGCATGTTTTCTTGTTTTCAGAGCTTGCATATCCGTCGTTATGCTCGAAATGCGGCAGCAATGGATGCGACACAAAGTACCAGGAACCTTTGCAGGATACTCTCTCTTGTCTCAGCGACAGCGGCGGTGACGTCGCGCTCACTACTTTAAATTACGCGCGGATTTTTTTGAACCAATCTTCCAACGCGCAGAATTTCCGGTACTTATGTTCCGATGGATCCGTGAGCTCTCCCGACAGCCCTTGCACATGGACCAATCAGTTAAACCGGATTATAATCTCGTCCAGTCAGAGCGCGGTGTTCATATCGGAATACCTTCAATCAAAACTACCCTCGTTCGCGATTGGTCAGTTCCAGGTGGCGAGCAGTACCGATAGCGTTTTGGAAACATCTTTAGCCACGGTACTCCAGCTGAATAAACGGGACAGGGTTGTTTTGAGATCGCCGACGCCGTTGAGCAATTACGTGAGAGGTATGTCAAAAAAAAAATTGTGTGATACAAATACGGATCACCATCTTTTATAAATGTCATACCTTTTTTTGTTACTCAATGCCAGTTAAAAACGGAATATCAAAAATCGTAATTTCTCTCTCGATAACAACAAAGTTACCTAAAAAAATCGAAATTTAACGTCAAATCAATCATGAGGGCTGTCGAAAATATTCAATTCAATTCAAAATTTCTTTATTGGTACTGTAGAGGTACGTTATACAATAAATAAAGACACTTGGTGTGCGGGATCCAGCATAGCTAACAGAATTGCGATTTATAAAAAACTCTCAACTACCACTGTGATGGCATTGTCCTGGTTGTATTCTTGTTACTGAATTTCCTTCTTTCTTGGTTTACACTTATCAATTTTCTTCAAATCGCAGCCAACAGGACGATTCCGTCCCCTGAAGAAAACGTAAAGTGCAATCTGACCGTGAGATGGTCGACCGTCAACGAGTTGGAGCAGGGCAAATGCTTGTGGCTCCGACAGGTCGCTGTCAATTTCGGTATTCAGCCAGTAATCTCTTGCGTTCGGAGTGGGGATGGAGATGACATCTCTAGTCTGGACAATATCAGCAATGGTCTAGCCGATATCACGTTTGCCGATGCGAATTACGGTTATATCGCCCGCAGGTCTGTATCTATACAAGATGCTCATATCCTTTAAAAAAATTGATCATCCGGTTGCAGTTTACCTGATAATTATTTTTCTTGGAAAAAATTATTTCTACCCGGAGCCCATTAAGTTTGAGGTCAGACAAAAACGCCTCGTGACCTCAAGAGATGCATTCAATGTCAAAAAGTGGAAATTGTTGAACTGGCCTAAAAACACTTTTATCTATATATTATAGATAAATTTATATAAGTTACAAGTTGTGTGTTTTCATGTATTTCAAAAATATTGGACAGGTCTGTTTTAAATCTACTAGTAAATATTTCTAACAAATACGTACAAATGATCGCTAGTTTTTATTTTAGCCAAGAGAGTGAGCTGGTCCTTAAGCTTGTGCCATCTAGTCAGTAATAAAACAATGAAAAAAGTACCATCAAGTGCTGTGGTGAATACCTGTTACTTTTGAAAAATCGATAGGGGTTCGGGAAGTATTTTTTTAAAAATAAAAAATTGCGTTTGCAGGGGGTCCAGGAGAAAAATCATTTTTCAGAAACCTTTGATGGTATTAGCAAAATTCTTAAACCATACTTTCATAAACTTTTACTCTTAATAATTATTGACAAATATATAGGGTGCGCCGTGTATTCGCGATTAACTGAAAATTGGGTTGCTTTTTAAAGAAAAATTGCTAAAACTGCTAAAACTTTTGTATTTAAGGTTTGTACCTATTGTACCGGGTGTTTAGGAAATTCCTTGCTATATTAAAAAATGTAACAACTGTATCAAATTTGCAGCTATCGACTTCAAATTTGCAGAAAAGTAGAAGTCCACACCGTAATTTAACCCTTTGAAACTGGGCGCCATCAAATTAAAAAAAATTGAAAATAGACGCAGGAGATTCGGTACTATAACTTTTGTTTTAATCATTTTTTCGATTATATATAATATATATTGTTCTATTCTAAAAATATGCCTAATTGGTTTAAACAGTATTAAGAATCCATATGAAAGTCGCTATTTCTAGCACAAAATAATTATTTTCTCGAAAATCATTTACTCTATTGGAAAAATTCATATACCAGGAAACGTAGGAGATCCAGGGCTATAACTTCTAGTTCGAACATTGTTTGAATTATATTCAGGGTGTGTCGTTTATGGGCTAAAAAACTAAAACATCCTAAAAATTTCCGTTTTTGTTAAAAAATGCAAGAGAGAGAGAGTGAGAGAGAAAGAATTTCAGGTTTCGTCATACATTACATCGATTGTGCGTAAGTTCCATAATGGTCCGCAAGAGAACGATAGAAGGTCTCTGTATTTCAAGAACCCGCGAAGCGGCTTCCTTTTGAAATACAAAGCTGCTTCGCGCTACGAACTTGCCCCCCAGCGACAGTTTTTCGAAAGCGATCCAGTTATTTTCCTAATAATTGTCTTATATGATACCTCATTATTCACCTATTTATTTCAATAACGAGGCAGTGCAAACCAGGAGTCATCTTGATAGCCATCCATCCTCGTGCCTTTAGGTTTGTAGAATTGTTAGCTAGCTGTCTCTCTCTCACCGCAAAGAGAAGTCAGGGGCGGTCAAGCTTGTTATATCAAACGAATCGCGCCCTCTAGCGGTTTATTTTGGTTAGTTATTTCCTCGTAAAACTTTTTTCTCTGAAAACGTCTGTATATCTTTCCTCAACTTTTTGAGTCTTTCGGGACCGAACGGTGCTCGGTTTTCAGGAAAAACTTGACCAACGTGGCATTCCCGGAAACTGACCCGCGTCAGCTTTCAAAGATCGTTGTGGTGATCAGGAGCGAGTCAAACTTTAGCGGTTTTGGCGACCTTAAAGGGCAGAGGGCGTGTCTGCCAGAGTACGGAGGCAAGGAGTGGCTCGCTTTCATTGACGCGTTGCGTTCCCGTAAAATTCTCGACACTTCCTGCGACTACGGGAAACTTCTCAGCGATTTCGTGGGACCGTCCTGCGCTCCCGGAGCCATTAATTACAAGGATTACGACATTTCCGGAACGGACAGCGACAAATTGTGTTCGAACTGCTTACCTGTCAACAACACTGGGAGTAAGCGGAAACCGTTTTTCGGGCGGTTTGTTTTTATTGGTTGAAATTTTTGATTTTTAGCCGCCATGTATTGCAACGCAGACAACATGAACAAGTATTATGGCAGTGTCGGCGCTCTCAAATGTCTGAGTGACAATAGCGGCGATTACGCAGTGATCTCAACAAATGGTAATAGCAACACCTACAAATGAAGCAGCTCATTTTAAATTAATAATTAATGTATTATAAGATATTCTTGATGAATTTATTCAGGAGTTTTACCCGAAATCAGAAGTACTAATTGTCGTAAACTATGATATGATAGTCGTTCTATACATGTAAACAATTTTTTCTCCAATATACAGGTCCTTTAGAGTTCGAAAACTTCAGTTTGTAGTTGCCTAGGTGGAGATCACTTTTAATTTCCAGTTAAGTGGTAATTTTTTTGTAAACAAAACACAGTGAGATTTCTCAGGGTTAACAAACAAACTGTTCAGAGAACAATATTCTTTAAAATTTTACAAATCTCTCTGCCGCCGGGTAAACCAATTTTGAAATTTTACAAGGAATAAGTACTATGTAAAAAGTACTGGTCAACATTATACAGGAAAATGGCAAACAATAAGGAACCCAAATTTTTGCTAGAATTAGTCAGTTAAAATCTCTTGTTTTTCCATTGCCAGATCTCCCGATACATTTCCGAGACCGCGACCAGTTCAAGGTCATCTGCAGAAACGGATCGGTCGCCCAATACGCGGGCTTTGAAGTGGACGAAAACGCGCCGCTGACCATCATCACTGCCGGCGAGGTCGTAATCGTCAACGGCAGCGCCATCTACAACGACGCGGTCCTTCTCCTGCGTGACATCGAGAAAGAGTTCGGCCAAGATCTCAGGAAACCGTTCAAGGTGTTCGACGCTTTTAACAGGACGAAAGATTTGCTGTTTCCGGTAGGTGTCGCAGAATGACATTATTAATGCTTCAAAACATTAATAAAATGCCTAGAAAAACTATAAATTGCGAACCACTTGGTGCACTATTTATTTGAAAATTGAGGTTACGGTATAAAATAAAATAATGCGTGGCGTAAATGGAGTTTCCAAATTGTATATTTTCATCAGGACAAGTAATGAGTGTGATCTATGACCATCATTAGGGGCTTGTCATATCACGTTATGATATAATTTTATTGGTCTGAGAGCTCTATAGATCTCTAAAAGATATACATTCTATTTATAAAACATACTACACATACTTAAAAATCAAAACGCTAATATTCACATATTAGTAATAAATTGACATATAAGAAAATTGAATAATTTGTAATTTTCGCACCAGAGACAATACAAATAGACGACATGATAAATGAATATAAGAACAAGCCTGCAAACCATGGATCGACTGTATTTATTTGCAAGGCTGGTTTAACAGTGATGATGATGCGTGGCAGTTGGAGTTTTTGATATTAAATTCATGGAAACTGTGGGGAGTTATATGTTGAAAAACTCTAATAAAGTGCATTTTACTCTTAAACTAACATATGTGTCTCATTTTTGGTGGTTTAATGATGCATTTCCCCTTATTAATGCAGCTAGCTTAACCCAAGGTTTTATTTTTTAAATGAAAGGTGGCACAAACAGAAATCCCAGCTATCGGGCATTTTTAGGTACAGGATGATTTCGAAAAATGTCTATTTTTAGTTTGGTAAAGCTTTATTTTTTGTTTTAGGCAATTATAATAGCTCATGCTATTTTTGAAAGCCTAATATAATTATTAAGACACTATTAAACATTAAAAAAACAATTTAGTTTACACAAATTTGTGAGATGCAGGAGGAAACTGGATCCTACTTAAAAAAACCTATCCAAGAACTACATACCGAACAACCGAACTACAAGGGGTGTCTAAAATGCGAAATTTTCAAAATTGCATTGTATTTACAAAAAAATAGCAATACGCAGGCCTAGTATGTATAATAGTAACTTAAGCATTACATCTTAAGAATTACAAAGTAATAATAATACAACATTTGAATTCACTGTATTTTTGGGATTTCCATAGCCAAGAAACAATTTTGTGGATCTTTTGGATTTTTTTGACGTTACTGTTCAATGGCGTCATCCTTAATATCCATTTTTTTTAATCGAAAGTTTGCGCTTTTAGGATTCCACACCGGGACTCAGTTTCACCGAAACGAACACCTACATCCGAAACTTCCAGGAGTTGATCAGTAGTTCGGAGAAATGTGGCAACGCGAGCAGTTTCGCGTTACGTTTGATGCCAGCAACGTTTGTTTTGGTCGTTATCCAGTTGATGCGATTCGGACAGTTTTGTTTCGATTATTAGCGTTTATTTTTAAAAAACTCTTGTGTCCTTAGCAGCTGTGATTGTGTTTGCCTTGCGTTGGAGTTTTTACGAGGCTCGATGATTGCGACGTTGTCGTATTGCTTGGTTTTTCTGGTAAATGGGGCAGCCACGTCATATAAGATACTTTCTTACGTCCATAATTTTGGTTAATAAATATGTATGACCAATTTTGTATTTTAAAATATACTACTTTATGTAAACAAAGGCATTTTTATAACTATTTCATGAATTGACTTTTTTTTGTGTTATTCGTTTTTTTTTAAATTACCAAAATCCTTTATCCTTTAGAGATTTATTAACTGCTCACATAGTCCGGATTAGTGAAAAATTGAGCTTTTTCGCATGTACCTTTGAGTATCCAAGGCTAAGTTTTCATAAAGTACGATAATTTAAGTATCAAAATTGCAAACAGTATAAGGTTCTTCAATGGTATAGTTTATTTGGCCGGGTTGTCCAATAACAGCGATAATCGAAATTTAAGTGACCAGGCTTGATGGCATATTACAAAGTCTTATAGACGCCCAGTAATAGCAAAACAATTCTCCAAAAGAAAATTAGTCAAACATAATATGGGTCTGTCGCAAGTTTAAAAAAATGAAGGAGATATGAAGGAGTCGAAAGGTTAGACAAAGGGCCAAATACAGTTGCGCTCCTACCTGGATGGAGTAAATAAAACAATTGTTTCTAGTGGGTAACCTTTCAATGTGACCATTGGCAACACAATCTGGATGAATTTATTTAGATATAACAGAAACGTCGACGCATAAAAATCTGGCAATTTATGTTTTTTGTATAAAATCTTTATAACACGGGGTTATCACTCGTTTGAAAGTTTCCTTCTGACTTGGTCACTTGATAATAATAGGAAAAAAACAAACATTTTCAAAGTTACTTATCTAATATTATAAGTGCGTTTTCATAACGATATCTTTTATTCTTTCTTTACAATTTATTACTCAATAAGTTGTTGATTTTAGAGCGTTTTACTTTGACAGTAAATTTACTTTCCACGAGCTATCCGCACATAAATCATTATCCTTTTTGCCAATAAGTAATTTTAATTATAGGCCATTCCTTTTAATTTTGAAAGTAATCGGAATTCCAAAATCCACAAGCTCAAACGTAGCGCCGCAAAATACTAAAATAAAAGAAAAAGTTATTAAATAATATTTCAAACAAATATATATTTAAAAATTAGCTGAAATTATGGTCGTCGGTATGCCAGTTGATAAGATATTTGGGGCCACACTTTCCTTATCTAGAACACCAAAACTAATTCGTTTTTACCAAATTGATTTTGATCAAATTTTTTATTACCAATGGATTCAAATGCTAATCCCACGTGTCAATAGAATAATTCTAGGTTATCTATAATAATGAGGCACTTGGTTGCAGAAAACGTCAGTCCGTTTTTGAGATAAGGGAAGAAAACATTGTGATAAAATTTGAAATTTTTTAAAGCGCATGTTTATGTGCATGACTGTAAGTAATGTATCAGTAAACAAATAACTCGCAAAGATAAAAAAATTCCAATCAGAGTAAATAAAGCTTCTTTGTTGCTTTAGTTTTAACAATTAATTTTAACAGAATGGTGTCCAATTCACATTACGATGGTGTTTTTGGTCCACATTGTTTTGTAAACATTGTATAGAATTGTTGAATGGTGGAGTATCAAGAAATGTGGTATATAAGTATTGTAATGTCAAATTAATAAAAATGATAAGAAAGAAATAAGACTATATCAACAATTAAAACAAAATAACTTGAAAAGACAAAGAACTTCATTTAATTTTTTCCCTTTTAAAGTTTGAAAGTCTTAATAATATCAAAAAATTAATAAAATTACCTACTTATCTATTGATCAAAGCCCATGACTAAGTAGAACTGAACTTGAACTTTAAAACATAATTACACCCGCAGTTAAAACGCCATGAACTATTTACATGATAAGATAATTACGTTTCGCAATAAAATTCTTAAAAAACGCAGTTGTGGCGTTTAAAAACATTTATCTCTTCGCGTCCACTTGTAGGCAGGTATACAAGGAAAATTGAAATTATAAAACCAGTCGTATGATACTCCTAGTAAAGTTTTATTACTCAACGAAAGATAATTACGTATGGTATATTAAGCAACATCAATAAACGCAATTTTAGTGACGAGTCAGAGCTGACAAATGTCAAAATCGCATGGTTAAAATATACCGAAAGCAACCGATCTCTCCAAAACCCATGACTCGTGTGCCGGAAACGCCCATAGTGGCTCCCGACAGCGAATAATGAATCCGACGTCAAAAGATAGTTTTGGTTAGTTTCCCTCAACCACCAGAAAAGACATTCCATTTTTTTAGGATTTCGTAGTATATTATGCAAAAAGTGCGGCAAAGGCAAACGACATTTTGAGTCACAAGTTTATTTGACACGAGCGGAGCGAGTGTTTAATAAACGAATGACTTAAAAAGTTTACCTACCGTGTTGCGTACTTTTCTACGACCAATAGTTTTTAGTACCATTTTCAGAATTGTCAAACGTCAAAATTCAAGCCGTGCTGTAAAATCCCGGAAAACATCCGATTTCTCCCGCAAATATCCGAAGTGGCTCGGATCCGTGGGACAGGAAACTCGGGTGGAAAGTGACGCTTTCCTAGCAAGTTAAAAATAGAAACCGGAAAAATCCCGCATAGACGTGTGGCTAGTTTTTTTTGTGCTATTGTCCTGAGCAATGAAAAAAAAAAGGATAAATCTTCATTGCCAACATTTACAAAAACTTTGGCGTAACCATCAATAGCGGTTTAATATATTCGGCACAATTTTGAAACACATCGTAGATAAAGTGGAATACCTAGAAGGTTGTTTTTGCCAATTGCCGAAATATTTCTCGCAAGTAAATTAATCTCGTAAACAATGATTCAGATCTATATCAATTGACTATATAAAGAACGAAAACAATGGACCCAGTAACAACACACGCAAAATATAATGCACCGTATACCTTCTACGATAAGCTTATTCTTCGTGGTGTAGGTTACCCCCGATGGTATACCATACGAAGTATCTACATTTCACATGTTACAGGATAGGGACCGCGAGTGCCCGAAGGCACTTTCCAGATGGATTTAAATTCGGAGCTAGCACATCCGCATATCAAATAGAGGGCGCTTGGGATGTTGATGGCAAAGGTCAGAACGTGTGGGACTCTTACACACATATCCTGTCAGGTAAGGATTGTTGCTTGGTACGACTAGAAGATAGATTATGTTCCCTTGTAGTTATCAGTTTCCCGACAGCTGATATTGCCTGCGACTCGTACCACAAGTGGGAGGAAGACATCCAAATTTTAAAGACTTTAGGCGTCCAGACGTATAGGTAATTAATTATTAGAAACTAAGTACTTAATTCTCTAAAGAGGCATCATCTAGAGTAAGTAAATTGTTCCTAAACTTTTAAATAATGAAATAACTTTACTATTATGAATGGAGCAAAATAAGTATTTACTAGAAAAAAAAAAGATTTTGCCCTAATTTTCCAAATTGCAAAAAAAGAGAAGCCTGTTAAAGACTTTTGCTGCATATTGCGTGGGACTGTATAAATTCGTATTAGTTCTACTGCAATCCAAATGCAAATTGTTTCTATTTTTTGGACATTAATTATGTGTTTTGGTGAACATGAGTTCGAAATAAGGCTTGCAAAATGATCAACAATTTGTCCTATAAGAGAACTCTAATTATTCATATGGTGACCAATTCCTAAACTAACCAAAACTAATACAGGCTGAGCAAAAGTGAAGTAAAAAATTTTCCAAGGAAACGCCTTATGTTCATAATTTTATTCGATTTTAACAATTCTAAATCGAAGTGGTGCTGTAGGAAACGCAATTAGAAAATGATAATTAATATATAATAATGTATCATATATATAATAGAAATATAGACAATCTTATACAAAATTAAATTATAAAAAATGTAAAAAGTCAATTTTTCCAAAGGAAAACCCAGTATTTTTGAATTTGAAATTAACAGTTAAGGTGACTGTGTAAGCTTGTCTATTCCGGAAATTTATATTTTCCGAAATAATTGACAATTTAACATTTTCCTATTGCAATCATTCTATAATATAGCGGTTAAGTTTTGTTGTTAGCTCTAACAAATAGTATTAGGAACGAAATTCAATTTCTAAACCGAAATAGTCGAAGTCGAAAAAAAATATCAAAATAGAGGAACTTCATTTGAAAAAAATAATATGTTTTTAACTACTGCATTGAGCAATTAAGGCTCTCTTATAGAAAAAATTGTTAATTATTTTAGGTCCCGCAAACGTCATTTTTATCGGGTATCTACAATTTCCCGGGGAATCCGAAAATGCAATAATATACAAAGCGTTCTATTAAAAAAAGCTAGTATTTACCACAAATGAACGGAACTATGAAACTATGCAAGTTTTCTTTTTAACTTTTTTTCTATCGTTCATACTTTCTGAATGAAGGGGGTAGAGAACCTTATTTCGTACACCCTGTACCCAAGAATTGCTTTCGTTTTTTGAATGTCATTCACTTTTTTTCTTGTATTTCCTTGCATTACATTACATTCAATGTATAACTAATTACACCTTTATGTTTTTAATGGTCTGTATGACTGCATTTAGTTAAAACGTAATATATTTTGCAATTCTGCCTTTTTGTTCAACTTACACGTCCCCCAAATAAATATTGTGAATTAAATACTTAGTTTTGTCCGGTAAATAACTGGAATTATGATAAATATTGTCTCTGCTTCTTGTGAATTTGATTCTAGATTGTCCATATCGTGGTCAAGGATCTTACCCAACGGTACTGCCGACTACGTAAATGAAAAAGGGGTGCAATATTATCTGAAAATATTGAAGGTAATACTAATAATAATAAGTATTGAAGGTAATAAATGTAGATCTAGATTATTGAGGTAAAAATGTAAACATGTCGTAAATACCAATGTTGAGGTGACATTAACCCATATTATCCCAACCATAAAAAAAAATAAAAAATACTTTTTTGCTCTGAAATGATTAATTTTTTTGCACTACATGTGTCAAAAAAAAAAAACGCGAAACATACAAAAAATACTGATACGTAAAAGAACCACTAGGGAAAAACATTAAGATGTAACATATAATTTATACATAAATATACAAAAAAAACTTCAAATTCGAAAGAAAACAACTAAAAGTAGATTGTTTTCCAAATAGAACCTGATTTGATACCAAAAAAAAACGTATAATATTTTATGGTGCGTCATCGCACCACTGGTAACACCCGGTTTCATTTTTGGTGATATTTTACAAAGCACGAAGCATGTAAATGCACATTACACTTATTACAAACGTAAATTGTGTGGCTGTGGCAGATTCTACATCTCCTTCGGGCTTTATTACCATGAACAATCATGAGTTGACCTTGATTATGAAAACGCACTTCATCTATGGCAGGTGCAAGATTTCTTTGAGTAATTGTTTTATCAATTTTTAAAAGACGCAAAGCAATGTAAGATTTGAAATCAAATCAATCACTTCGTCATCAAAAAACATAAACAAAATTTCAAGCGGAGTTTTTCCAGAAAACCTATTTTTTAGTTCCTCTCATGATCTAAATTCATCGGATATAGGTGTATGAGTGTACTCAATCTGACCTTTCTTCCATTTGACAGTAGAAGCAAGCCTGTCGTTTGCGGAAAGCATACGTCTTCTTTTGAATTCCAGTGTTTCATCATCTGATGCGTCCCATTCAGGTTCAGTAGTTGATGAATTACAAAACTGTTGAAGGTAAGCTGTATCATTTAGTGTATGTAACTCGAAAGTTCCAACTATATCAGTTGGTTCCCCAAACTCTTGTAGATTTAGGTTATAGTTCATATCTTCTTCGTCAGTCAAGGTATTCACGTGGGGTGGAATATAGACCTCGTCACTACGTTCTGTAAATATATTTTCATGTCATTTTTAGCATAAATTTACAATGAATGGAATGCTACAATACATAAGATACATAAATCCAAATAATACTTACGAGTTTCATTGTTATTGTCCTCATCCATCACGATCTCCTCCATAACCGCTTTTAATTCCTTTTGAGTCAAAAGGAAAGACCATATTTTACGAACTGCAACGTGCACTGTACAAGGCCCTAACTAATACTAAAGAACACGCTAATTGTTGGATGTTCATTCTACATGCGCTAACTTGTCTAGACTTGCAATAACAAAGTTTTGTTTCACAGATTAAATCAGTGGTTCATTCACGCACCAGTGAATATTTTCAAAAAATAAAGCATAATCCATATAGTATTTCCAATGTATGTTTTCTGCGATGTAATCTACATGCTATAGACTTAACAAAAATGGCAATACAAATCCAAAATATGTTTTTTTACCATTTAGGATTTATTTGAAAATGTGATACAAATTTATGTACCGCTTTTGTTTACTTTTGAAGTCATATATAAGGTTTTATGTCCTTTAACAGTGATAATAATAAAATTTCTAAATGGATGTGCAAAAATATTTCCTGGATGTGACAAAAAAAATCATTAACGCACCATTGGGACAAAATGGGTTAAATAGAACACCTTTTATATTGATTAGACATCATAATATATATTTTACATATAATATTGAATTTAATATAAAAATTATTTTACGCTGTAACCGCGAATTTTGGAAAATCGTCGTAAAGGAACACCCTGCAAACCGCATTTTCAGGCGTTGAAAGCTAATGGCATTGAACCGATAGTGACGATATACCATGGAGATCTACCGGTACCCATGAACGACATCGGCGGCTGGATAAACCCCAAAATCATCGATTACTTTAGTGAATATGCGAGGATCTGCTTTGATCGGTTTGGAAGTTACGTGAATTACTGGTTGACCCTAAACGAACCGCGGCGGATATGTCCCCCGGGTGAAATAAACATCGGTTGGGGCGTGCTAAAGAATTACGTCACTGGCGAAGCCATCTACGAATGTTCGTACATCATCAACAAGGCACACGCCAAAGCTTATCATATCTACGATGAAGAATTTCGTAGCTCACAGAATGGTAAGCCGTTATTTTCGATTTGAATGGTTGTGATTTCAAACCACACTTGCAGGTAAGGTTTCCATAGTGTTGGACGTGGAATGGTTGGAACCGTACACCAATAGCTCGGAGGACTTGGGAGCTGTTGAAAGGGAATTCGAATTTAGCGTAAGGAAAAAAATTTTTGGAGAATTACTTTTGTTCCCTATTCAAGTTTAAGTCCTTGTTGAACTCGAATTTTTCGAAAGTATACACGCTTGGCAACGAAACTTATATCTCGGCAACGGTAGGTCCTAGGAGACCACCACTGCCACAGAAATGGTCAGCGTGGAAAAAAAACTTTTTTTTTCTATTCTCCGTTCTCCGTTATCCGTTATCCATTCTCCGTTTCACCGTAGACCTAGCATTAATTGGCTATATCTTTTGAACGGTTTACAGCACGACCTTCAAATTTGGCTCCTTTTAAGCCGTGCACGAGGTACACAAATCAGTATAAAATGAGGCTGATCAAACCAAGGCGTCCATCTTTTTTTTTTTAGATTTTCGACTGAAATTTGAAGCCATCCACTTAAAATTTTTCAGATGTATAGATCTAGATAGAAACTGGAGGGGCTAGGGGGTCGGGAAGTATTTTTAAAAATTTAAAAACTTGCATCGAGAAAAAATCATTCCTCCAAGATCCGGACCAAAAACCTTTATTCTTGATGGTCGGTAATTTACAAAAAACTGAAAATTGAGCTCCCTTTATATTGATAATTGACCATAACTAGAAGGCTGTGATTCTGTTGTAAGTTTCTTTCACATTTCTATATAGTCCGTATGGACAGCTAAAATTTTTGTATTAAAGGTTTTCACATATTGTACAGGGTGTTCTGAATATTCTGTTCTATATTCTAAAACATCATAGGTGTCTCAAATATGTAGTCATCGATTTCAAATTTGGCAAGGAAGTAAAAGTCCGTACTCACATCTAAACAGTAGAAATTGAGCATAATAAAATGTCACCAAATATTTTTTTAAAAATTATGAAAAATTTTCTTTGATTATTTTATCTTCCCTAAAAATATGATTTTCTCAAAAACTATTCAACCCATCGGCAAAATTTTAGAGCCAGAAAATGCGGGACATCCGGGGCTGTGACTTTTATTTTAGGCATTTTTTTGATTATATTCAGGGTTTTTCAATTGTTGCCAAAAATCTAAAAGACCGTGAAAATTGTACTTTTTGGGAATGAATTATTAACCGCAAATCATAATCAAAGAGCCACAACTTTTGTAATTGCGCTTTTCGTCTATCATATACGCTGCTCGAGATATTTGAAAAAATCCATATGAAAATCGCTATTTCAATCTAGACGCGATGACGTCATTGACTCTTACGGTGTACAGCATAGTTTGAGAAAAGAACTATTTTCTGGAAAACGATTTACTCTATGGAAAAAATTCGTGGACCAGGACACTTGGGGGTTATAACCTGTATTTCGAACATTTTTTGACTTATATACAGGGTGTGTTGTTTTTTAGCAAAAATTCTAAAAAGTTCTGAAAATGTCCGTTTTTGTGGGTAAATTATTGGTCGTACATGAAAAACTGTAAAAGATGGGATAATTTGGTTTTGATATTATCATAAACTGTGTCGAGAGCTAAAATTTTTTTATTTATAGTTCATGTCTATTATACAGGGTGCGCGAGATATTTGAAAAAATATCATCTACCATCGCTACCACCGACTTGCTCCGCCCAACTACGATTTTTCGATAGCAATCTTGTTTTCATAATTCCGGAATAGTTATGGAAATTAGAAACAACCATTCCTTTAAAAACTCTTAAATTAATTACTTTTCGTATGTCTCTGCAGCTTGGTAGATTCGCTAATCCGATCTATCTCGGCAATTGGCCGCAAATCGTGATCGAAAGGGTAGCGACCAGAAGCTCGTTGGAGGGCTACAACGTATCCCGGTTACCAGAAATGAGCCAGGAAGATGTGGAATATATAAAAGGAACTCACGACTTCTTCGCGCTGAACATGTACACGAGTTTCCTGGTCGAAAATGAAGATGAACCTTTTGTTCTCTGGGCGGATTACATGGCGGACAAAAAAACTCAAACCCACGTCGATCCCGCTTGGAGGCCGTCGAACGTCACCTCAGTGGTCTCCAATCCCGAGGGAATTAGGAAATTGCTCAAATACATTAACGACCGCTACCAACCTAGTGAGATTTTCATAACGGAAAACGGTTGGCCAGATGGTAACACGGAACTGCAGGATACTGAGAGGATCGAATATCTCGAGGTAAGCACGTCACCATCATAGTCGTTTTGGACTTTTGCCGCTTTTAGAATTCCATGAGATCTCTCACGGAAAAAAAAATATTGCTATAGTTTGGAAGTTGGGAATGGTCGCATTGTTTTCAAAAATAATTCGCGATTCATTGCCTTTATTAATTCGTCTGAGTGTTCGGCATGAAATAAAAAAGCTTAACCAAATCCGAAACACAATCAATTTATCTGTTGATGAATATCACTCAAGAAACATTAAATCAAAATTACGTTTAAATTTAGCTAGATTGATAACATACTGCAATCATGTCCTTTTAAGTTATCGTTATCACTAATAATGCTTTCAAACGTGTATATCCTGCTTCCACATTACCCTTGAAATAGGATAAAAATTCCGCACTTGCGTTATTTCCACAAACCACAAGAAATTATAACAGAGCAATTAATGACGCACCGGTGGAATGAGCTGGTCAAAAGTTCAAAGGTAGAGTTCTCCGAACGATATACCGTTTTTAACTTTGGTAAATTTTCTCTCGGGTTTCTCTTTGTAACCCTCAATAAATAGATAGAAAAATCAGTTCTTACTTTAAAATGACTATTATAAATATAAATGAAGGAGTGAATTTAGCTATAAAACAATGTTAAGATCTCATCTAAATATATGATGGGGACGTTCTTAGCACGAATTTCTTGGATTTCTGTCCTAAAATCTTCTTCATTTCATCCAAACTTGTTTCTTATTGATGGTTTGGTAATAAAAGAAATCAGAAACAGAAACTTATTTAAAATTATAATTACACAAAATTGATTAAGAACTAACTTGCAATAAAAATGGCATACTGTGTCTTCAAAAACAGTTGATTAACAGTAATTGGTAATTACTAATTAGAAACACAATTCGGAAACTGGAAAACATCCATTATAAATCAATTATCTATACAAAATTTTGTATTGCTTTATTAGGAATCGGTGTTTTTAGTTTAGGAGATCAACCTATCTAATGGGCAAATTTAATTTGAAATCGAGCTACCTCAAGTAGGGACTGTTTTAGGAAGATTTATAAAAAGCACACTAATATGAATTAATATTACAGTATAATCATAATGGTCGGTTAACATACGGCCTGGTTTGTGGTACACGTGCTGAAAAGAATGGTCGCTTCCGCTTTACATCAGAATGGTTTTAACTTATCCCTAAGCCAAAACCATAAAAGGTTGTAAAAACGGTATATCATTTGGAGACCTCTAACATGTAAATATTATGTTTGGAAGCCACGTCTGTTTACTGTTAGCAGCGCCACCATCGGAACTTTAGAGTAATTATTATTAGGTGGCGTTTCTTCAGTTTCTCAAAGTGTTTTTACAGTATGATTTGAGGTGTTACGTACTTCGCTCTTATAACTGTACTCTGCAGGCGCATTTGAGTAACGTTTTGGATGCCATACACGAAGACAACGTCAACGTTGTTGGATATTCAATGTGGAGCCTGCTAGATAACTATGAGTGGATTTATGGGTACCGGTAGGTGCTGGAGAGATATACTATGGTTGCGCCTGCATACAAGCAGTCCTGTTTTAGTGTAAAGTACGGCCTCGTGCAAATAGATTTTGACAATCCCAATAGAACGAGGACTTTTAAGGACTCAGCCAAGTGGTACCAGAAGGTGATCGCTGCTCGGTGTTTGGATGAAGTTTGCGAAACTTAATGTTGGAATCTGATAACGCTTCAATTGCAACCTAACATTTAAAATATAATTTATTTTTGTTACGTGTTGTTTTTTTAGTTTTCTTACGACTTGAAAGGTTTTTGATTTCAATTTCGGAGAGTTTTTGGCAGCGAGCAAATAAATAATTAAAAAAAACATAAAATCGCTCAATTCTGTATTTTCATATGAAAGACAACCTTTAAAACACAATAAATGGTTGCGTTCCGTATTTATAAAACAGGTCGTTCCACGTCTCAAATTCTTTAGCCTTCCGGTTAGGCCTCACTTCGAGCGTATCGTTAATGTTGAGGTAAGAGAGGTTGTCACTAGTAACTTTCGGCCAGATAACATTTTGAAGTAGTTCTAACTCTTCGGGCGTAGGGTTGCTAAAAGAGAGCACGTTAAGGTGTTAATTTAGACCAAGACGACGATCTTAGCTTACAGAGTTTTGGCAAAGTTAGCCCATAGCTTAGTTAACCTCTTTCTCGTCAATTGGTCGGCGTCTGTCACTAAGGGGAACGGGCTCATTTTGAACAGGTAAGCCAGGTCGTCGAAATGAGCTACTTTTCCAGCACCTAAAGCAAGTGGAACATCTTAGAGTGATTGATAACTTGTTTCCTGTTGCTCTCGCATACCTTCAACAACGTAGTGGTCTTGGCTTTTGGTGCCGTAGAAGGAAAATACGTACAAGAATGCTGACGTGTACTGAGACGCAAGCTGGGCCTGTTTAAGCGTTGCTCTTCCGAAGCGATTATCAGTATCATACTGAAAACCATAATTAGTAGAGGACACAGCGAATATGTACAAGTTCGCTTACCTCCAAAGTTTGGACAATATTATTTTCGAAAGAACCGTTAGCACCCACATAGAGGTCCCTGATAATTTCTCCGATCTCAGTTACGTTCGATCCTGGCAGAGGTACAAGAGACGAGGGCACCAGAGCTGTGGGATCTTGGTCGAAGGACTGGGCAGTTTCTATGGCTTTGTCCAAACCTAAAAAGCGAGCATGTGAGGGATTTTGTCTGGGTGGTTACGAAAATTGAATACGCACTGTAGAGGAAACCGTAAGCTTCCTCCGACGTGGTACCCAAAATTAAAGGAACTTTGTTTACGCCAGCTTCCACGAGAGGGAAGGTCGGTTTCGACAGAAAAGCGTTTTCCAATTCCAACTCTAGGGTTGGCACAAACTGCAACATAAAAATGTAGTTGGATATATTCATTGGGTGGAGTACGATAGTCCTTACGCCATGTGAATCCACCTGCAGACTGGCATTGATGAGATTATCGGGAGTTTGGGCCAATAGAAAATCGCGAATTTCAACTGTGGTGTTTTGCTCGGAAATACTGCTGTCGAGAACCTGGGCCAATTCGTAGATGAATGATTTGGGGTCCAATTGGTAGGTGGTGCTTAGCGTGCATCCGCTATGACAAATGGCTGCCCTAAAGAGACCTAACAAGAGAAATATAATTTGAAATGAATGGGTTATTTTTAATTTTATTTAAATTATGTTAATTAATTAGATCACTTGTGCTATTTTGGTAAATTTTTGACCAAAAGAGAATGCTGATGCTATTGAGGACGTTATCTGCAAATAGGTTTGTTTTATTTATTTGCGCTCTAGTTTTGTTAAGAAAAATAGCCCTGGCCATTATTAAGAGGAATAGGCAAAAGGGCTTTAAAATAAATTGATACAAAAGTTAACGAAGTATTGAAATATCTAAACACTCTGTGCACAACTTACACTCATCTCGTCATTACCTGATGACTTCTCGCTTACGAGATGCATTCCTATCGACATTCCTCCAGCGCTTTCACCGAAAATGGTGATTTTGTCTGGATCGCCTCCCAAATATTGGATGTTTTTGTTCACCCACTGCAGTGCGTAATTTTGGTCCTTTATGCCCAAGTTTCCGGGTATGACGTTGTCTCCTGTGGATATGAAACCGAACGGGCCCATTCTGTAGTTGAAAGTGACCACAATGACGTCTTCTTCGAGTAGGTAGTCCGGCCCGTAGAATTTGTAATTACCATTTCCGGCAACGAAACCACCGCCGAAAATCCAAAACATGACCGGAAGCTTGTCAGAGGTCTATAATATTTTCTTCATGTCAGTAACACAGCGGCTCGATAGAGTTTAATAAGGACTGAATGATATACAGAAATAATGGCCAGTTCGAAAAAATGTATTAAAAGAATCATTTCGACTTATGATTATTAAAGTGCACCAACTCTTTACAATTTTTCAGAATTGTTTTCTAATTTTTTTTTAATGGAAAATTGGAAATTGAAAAACGCATTGTCGTTGAAAAAGGGGCGGGGCCAAACTCTGATGGCAGTTTGTATTCTTGTTATGATTTTTAGTTTCGATAAGTTTTTGTCAGTTTAGTAGTCTCGTTTGATAAACTCTATCCTCTGATAGACTGACTTTATACTTCAAATTATTTCGGACTTTAATAGTCTGTTCCAGTACAAGTGAATGGCTTAAAACACGATCTATCATTATTTAAAATTTTTGAATATCTGAACAAAACTTGGATATAATGAAACGCCTCATTTAATTGTATCCTTATAGCGAACTATTGAAAATATATTAGGCCGACTGCCAAAGAGTTTGTTTTAGATTTTTCCCCTTTAAAATGACGAAAATTTTCCAGGTTCGTTGATACGACTTCATAGCTTTAAAAATTTAGCATGGTTAAAAGTTCCTTAAAATAATTGAAAATTATTGTTGATGTAGTATTTATGTATAAACCACAAAATTTTCTATATACCCACCTATAAAAATTGCGGCTTAAATTTTTTTGCGACAGTAGGTGCTGTAGTTATGACGTCGCACATATGACGTATGATGAAACTAAAATGGTGTTTTTAGTCTCTGTGGACTAAAAAAATGCTTCATATATTAGAAGTGTATTTAACTATCTTTAAGATATGTCAAAATCGGTTTAGAAATAACGAATTTATAGCTTTTTCAATTTTGCTTGAATTTAAATATTAAAATTTAAATATAAAAATATTTGTATCTTATTCGAGTAAGCTTCTGTAAAAGTAGTCAATTTATTTTAGTACCTTTTATTGATCTTAAGCCTCTTCAATCAAACCAGACGAAATTGGTATAACGTAATTAGTTATATTAATAATTAAGTTGTAATAATTGTATATAAAATAATTGTAAATTGATTTTTTAATTATTGTGTGTTGTTATTCATTCCTTTTAGTTGACTTTTAACAGCGTTTTTTGATCAGTTACAAATATATACTTTCACATTCTATTCATGTATTAATTTATATGTCTACAAAATTCAAGAGTGACTTTTGTTTGTGAATACATAGCGAACTAAATTTGAGTAGGTTGTGACATTTTTTTCTGAAAAACAGGTCATTGAAAAAATGTGTTTTTTTTTACACTTGAAAACTAAAATTAGGAATTTTTATACAGGCATAGAACTGTCCTTAATTTCAGTTTACGGAAACTCTTAGCTCAATCACTTGTCCTTTCGATTATGAACTATGGTTTAGTCATGTCTTGATAGTATTAATACATATAGATTGCAAAAAATTTCCCACAAACTCCAGGAACTTATCTGCCTGAAAATTGACAGTACTTTCAATTACTTTTTGGCGTCTTTGGTTTTCCAAATTATTAGCACATTCAATCAATAAAGTTCAATCAGTATCTTTAAGACACCCCTACAGACTCTCACTGCCACGATATCGTTTATCTTTGTTCCGCAGATCATTTTCTTGTAACGCTGCTGTAATTTTTAGTATACCCCATTCAGTAAAATCACATTCAATTAAATTCTGTAAAAAATATTTCAGGTTGAAACTGCTGACTTCTCAAATAATTTGATTTTTAATGTTATTCTTTTTATTTTTACTTTTAGTAACTTTCTATTGTTCCGTCTTACTATTACATTTATCTATTATACTATATTTAATTTATCAATGTAATTATAACTTCCTATTTAGTTTTCAATTTAAACATTAAGAGGTGAAGCTTTTGCTAGACTTCGCCTGTTCTTTACTGTATGTTTATATATAACAATATACAACAATAAAGGCAATTTATTATTATTATTTTTCCCATGGATCTCTTGTAAAAATAAGACGCGGTTAGAAATGCAATTGCGGAAATTGAAACATGTATATTTACGGGGGATAGAAAACGTTTTGTAGTTAGTAATGAGTTCTATTTACGTGCATTGGTTGTCGATTTTATATTGACTTTAAGTAATTAATGAACTTAGAATAGGATATTATATGGGTTTAGTTAGATATAAAATAAAATACATTAGTTGTTGCTTCTAACCTACCCATTTTTGATATATATGAATTGATGCAGAATATACATACATTTATAAAATTGAGTTTTTTAAATTAGAAAAATCAATTTTTGATGGTCATTTGTGACCACCCTGTATAATATATTTCACCATAGATAGGTCAAAGCATTAAAGATTAACTACTTCCGCGGATCCATAACAAAAATTTCCAATTATAGTTTTCAAGTGTAAAAAAAAGTTCATTTTTCTCACAAACTACTAAAAATTTCGTGCCCTGTGTAATGACAAAAAATACTCGAAAGCAATTCGATTCAATTCGAATCTTTAAAAACATTAATAGTATTTTCCATTAAAAAAAATAAATTGGTTACTCTCCTGGCACAACGGAACATCCTGTATACATAAAAACACCATACATAAAATACATAATTATTTTTTTTATTTAACTTTTTTTCCTCAGTGTGGTACTTTTGGAGATTAGGTATCTGGACCACCCTGTACTACCGATCGTGGGATAAGTAAAAAAAAATGTATCACGATAAAGTTAGGTTATGATGTAAATTATACAAATTTCAACCTCTTTACAGAACAAAAATTACCAATCGGTTTACAACTAATCACAAACTGTTTGTTGAAATGGAAGAAATTATTTAGATTTGAAATCCTTTTCCACAAACACACCTAATATGTCCGCTTTAATACCTATTTAACGTTTTTTGTTATACAATTGATACAATACATATACAATATATGGAGTTTTTTGACCGACACCTACAGATCTTTATTTTTAAAGTTTACTGTTGATAGCTGATAAAAAAATAACCTAAGTTAACTATTTATGGAAAAAATTCTCCAATTTTATGCCATTGTGCACTGCTTGAAATTTGAAAAATTGCAGTTACTTGTTTATCATTGCGGGGAAAATAATCCTTCATGTACCGAAATTCTTGTTCAAATTTTTATAATTATAATAATTTTTTCTTATCCATTACGAGTACCCAACAATATATTAGATTAGAATATATGACATAACACACAATAACAAGTGCAATTGTTGACGTAACTGTTGCTAGGGAAGATCTAAATTGATATGGTAAGGATACTTGAAATGTTTAAACTGTTGAACTGAACCGAATTTGGATTTTCCCAGCTCCCAGGTCCTTTGATGGGACCATATAAAACATTATGGAAAACTTACATTCCAAGATGGAGTGTAAACGTTGACGAACAAGCAATCTTCACTTTGCGGCCCTGGATCGGGGTAGTAGAAAAAGTTTTCCAGGAAGATGCACGAGTCCGCCTCTTTCGTCGCGTCTCTAACGTCCGTCCATGGTTTCGGTGGTGTCGGTTCCTAGAAAATTGACCCAAAGCTTCTAAATTGCTGCAAAGGTTCTTTAGTTACAACTCACTTGGAACCTTAGGTTGCCAACGGGCGCCGAAGCGTATGGAATTCCGTGGAATGCGTAAAACGTCTTGTTCTCGGACGTCTGCATTTCGTGCCCTTGTATTTTTCCATCTGGCAATTCGACAATCAAATCCCCACGCTGCCAAGTTAATGAGTATTAGTGAAAGTTTAGGCAATGATTGTTTAACAAAATGTTTTACTTCCACCTACCGTAGACGTCAGTAGCAGCGTTATTCCTAGAAGGACAAACATGGCGACGTGTTTGCCGACCAAAAGCAACCAACTGAGCATTTTGCAGGGTTGGAGGAACTTTTAAATAAAAGATGATTAGGCCAATTTTAAACAATAGATGAAATCAGTTCGCGTGTGTGAGATAAATGTGAAGTGGTCTGTTCTAAATTCTGCTCTTAGTGGTTGGCTTCAGTCATATATCCCAACACAACGCACCTTAAAAATAGCATCTCACATCCCCGTAGTAATTACAAAGAAAATCCACTATTCTTTCGGTTCATTTGGGGAGCAATTATCGTTATTCATTCTGCACTGAAGTACTGCAATACAAAGTACTGTAGTGAAATAGTCTTGAGAACACTGTAACTCAAAAAATATGTGCTATTATACTATTACATTGTTATTTTATAATTTTAAATTACAGTTATATAAACACTGTGTTTATGATATATCCAAGTAAGGCCTTAAAATTACTAAAATGCGGTATCGTGGAGACACTAGAACAACGGAAGACAGTAGTTCAAGTGTGCTAAGATATGAACAATACTTCAGATATGCCTCGAGATTTGCTAAGACATTAACGATATAAAACGAAAATAAATGATGCAAGGTTTTTCATCATAATGATAATGAAGATTAACTAAAGTTTTTATAATTTAACCAAATGTGAGATAAAATTAAAAAAAAACTGTACAAGAGTATTTTCGTCAGTACCAATTATAATCTTTTTATCAGTAACACACACTGGTTGCTATCAAAATTTATTTTGTATACGAATATTCAAACCACTTAGTTTTCATTTTATTCTAATTTTGGGGGATTATTTCTAAAGAAATTTAGTTTCAACACAAAAAAACCAATAGAAATAATTATATATTTATCTTTGAAGAAGCCAACGCGATGATTGGCGAAACGTCAGCAAGTTCGCAATCGGAATCCAGAGATTTGTAAATAGTATTACGGTAGCCTGTAGAAGTTTCTTTGAAAAGTTAATTATTTCTTCATGTATCTGAATGTTTATAATTTTTAGAAGAATTTAAGATTTCACATTAACAAAATTTAATGACCCTCTCAGGTACTGCAACCATGTTTGTATTCCATCATTTACTATACTGCAGACTACCAGCTACCATTACATCTTTGCTCCTGCGAAGACGACAAAAGGAGAAAGTCGCGTGTATCCTATTCTAAATATTTCTCTGAAGTTTGGACTAGTTTATTTTTTTTCGCTAATTAACTTTTGGAAATTGCATATAAAAACACATCTTTTTCCAAGCTTTTGTCTTTTCAATCCTTTTACTAAATATCAGTTGTGTGGTCTCCTGAATTTAAGCAGTTCAACTATCTGCATCAAAAAGTTTTATTTCGTAAACTGCTTTGTTCTAGATTTTGCGACTTCGAAAAATCGTGTGTCTGAAAGTGGCCTAATATGCTCTTTTAAAGGAGATTGTGTCATATCATCGTTGAAATTATTATCTGTTCATCAGTGGTTGTTATCGAAAATTTATTTTCTATTTTGCAACATTCAGATCAATTGATACTCAGATAACGAATATTTATATCGCTCTCTACGTTAAACCCCAAGTACGACAAAGCAACTCTGAGAATTTAAAGGAAAGAGACGGGATGGAAGATGTTACGGTATTACTATAAACATTTTGGCACACACACACTTGCCGCTTGCTTCAGTACCAGGCAACAATTTCTCCAAAGTGACTTTCCCAGTTTTCCGATCGAATGTTGAAGGGGAAATTAGATTTTTACGTATCCATTTTCATAAATTGCGTCTAAATTACTGTTAGCTGGTATTTTATCTAGCTCACAGAAGATTTTAAATAAAACGAAAGGATAAATAAATGAAAGAATCAGTTTACAGGAAAACTTTTTAATAGGAAATTCTCAACCTTGACTAAAATACTATAAACGGTTTAGTTCCGTACTTGTCATAGACATAGTCCCACATGGCGGATTCCTTCACTTTCCTATTTGGTTTTACCTGAAGGGTGTCATCGATGTCCAAATACTGGATGTTATCGGAAACTACTTCAGGCCATACGACATTTTGAAGCAATTCCGATTGCTCTGGAGTTGGATTTCTAGAACCAACATACTGTAAGTTTTTGTTTGCTTTCGAGTGCTGATACTTACAATGTTTTGGCAAAGTTAGCCCAGAGGTTGGCGAATCGTTGCCTGGTCAGTTCATCGGCGTCAGTTTTCAATGGGAAGGGACTCATATTGAAAAGGTACGGCAGCTCGTCGAAATGGCCCACTTTGCCAGCACCTTCGACAACGTAACGATCGTTCTTGCTTTTGGTTCCGTAAAAGGAAAACTGATACAGGAACACTGAACTATATTTTGAAGCCAACTGGGCCTGCTTTAGGGTCGCCCTTCCGAAACGATTGTCACTGTCGTACTACAAGGAAACGATGAAATCCTTTTAATCAAAGTTCGATCTAACCCACCTCTAGACTTTGACCGAGTTGATCGAGGAACGAGCCATTGCTACCGATGTAAGCCTCCTTGATTACTTCACCCGCCTCTGTGAGATTAGAACCCGGTAGAGGAATCAAATATACGCTTGGGAACAATCCAGACGGATCTTTGTCGTAACCTTCGGCTGCGGTTTGCGCTCTTTGTAAATCTACGAACATTCCGATCATTGAAAGCGCGTACATTCGCAATTTTTCTGCTCACTCGAGAGAAAACTCAAAGATTCCTCGGAATTGGTACCTATAATTAGGGGAACTTTATTGACTCCGGCTTCAACAAGCGGATAAGTTGCTTCAGATATGAAAGCTTCTTCGTCATCGGCTTCAATAGCGGGAACAAACTACAAACGTTGCAATACAATTATTACCCAAGCAGTAGTATAGGTAGACCAAATAATATCTAGAGGAGACTCTAAAAGTCCTTTGCATTTACGAGTCATGGTATAGATCATATAGATGTAGTTGAAGTCGATTTTAGACATTTCAAACTGGCCAGTTGAGAATTAATTAGGTTTTCAATTATTGTATAGTTATTGTACAGTTATCTCGAGAAACCCATTCTAGACACCGAAATTCTATTTTGTTACCAAAAGAGTGAATTTGTTCATCATTATTTTTTCTTTGTAATTCATAGAACGTCATTCATCATTACTTCCTTTTTGTTTTTGGTTGTTTATTGGTGGTGCCTACCCCGTGAGCGTCCAAAAGAAGACCGGCGCTGACCAGGTCGGAAGCATTTTGTTTCACCAAAAAGTCTCTTATTTCGATGGTGGTGTTTTGGTCCGAAATGCTGTCGTCCAACTGTTTCGCTAAACTATAAATGAAAGCCTTGGGGTCCGGATTATACGTGGTGCTCAAAGTGCAACCGCTGTGGCAAATAGCAGCGCGGAACAGGCCTGAAAACAATAGAACGTTTACCTTTGCTTATTCGAATTTGTTGGTGGTTTTGGAACCTGCGGATTTTTTGCTGACCAAATGCATGCCCACGGCCATGCCGCCGGCGCTTTCTCCGAATAGGGTAACTTTTGCGGGATCTCCGCCGAAGTATTCGATATTGTTTTGGACCCATTTGAGTGCCATGTTTTGGTCTTTGATGCCCGCGTTTCCTAATATGGCTTTGTCGCCAGTGGAGACCACGCCGAAGGGACCCAATCTGTAATTCAACGTCACGACGATGACGTCTTCTTCCAAAAGGTAGTCTGGTCCGTAGTATTTATAGACTCCGCTCCCGGCGATGAAACCCCCACCGTAAATCCAGACCATGACTGGTAATTTTTCCGATTGCTAAAAATGCTAACTTGTGATATATGGCACGTATAAAGTTGTGGGAAAATGTACCGAATTTTGCTATTTTTCTTTCTTTTTTTTATGAGTAGGATGTTTACAAACTACAACGTGGAACTGCATGCAGACTTCGTCTCAAACGAAACTAGCCCAAATATCACAAAGAAAAACCGTCTCAAATACAACAAATAATGGAAAAAGCGCTATAAAATAATAGATAGAGAATACTTTAACCTAAGAATTATATCAAATCTGTATTATCATTTCAACGCATACTCCGAACAGATCCTCAAAAAAAGCACTGCAAGGAGATTCAGCTGGAATTGATTGATATCGTTAGTGTTGCGTACTATAATTTTTTGTATGACTATTGGAAAACAACTTAAATACATTCATGGATATTTCAGTCAACATTCGGATCGGAGAGTTCGGATCCGTGGGAAACTAAACTGACTTGATAAAATGACATGCTAGATCCGCATGCTAAATCGGTTTATAATTAGCCATTTTAGAATAGGTAGCAGAAAAAAGTATCTGCAACAAAATCTTAAACGAGATATCCTCAAACATCACCAAATTTTTACATTTAGAATGAAAAATCAACTTTATCATTACTCTCGTCATCAATATTAATTAATTTGTTGTTAGTAACAGAGAGTTTAACGGTGTTGACTGAATGACGAGTGGTACTCATGTTGATACATGCTCTTACGTCACACGCAACAATTTCAAAGTACTCGAAAGTAATTTTCCGACCCTAGTTATAAAAATGTTGAGATATCAAACCCGCGCTATCTATATATCGCCAACCATTTTTGTATATTTCATATAATTTAACTTGACCAATTAACCAAAAATATTGCATAGGATTTGTCTTTATTATTCGACAAGTGAGAGTAAATGGAAACGAAACTGAAGCAGCAGAGATTACAGACATGAAAATAAAGATAGAATTAAATGGATCTTAAGGGTAGAGTTATTTTCGTGGTTAACCAAGTTTCTTACTTCCCAAGACGGCGCGTAGACATTGACAAACAAGCAATCCTCGCTTTGCTCTCCCGGATCGGGGTAGTAGCTGAAAGTTTCCAGGAAAACACAAGAAGCCCTCTCCTTTGTGGCGTCCCTGACACCTTCCCATGGGATTGGTGGTAATGGAGCCTGCAACGACGAAAGCAAAATAAATAACCAACCGTGCTTCGATACCGACTTACCTGGAATCTTAAGTTTCCGACTGGTGGAGCGGCATATGGTATTCCATGGAAGGCGTAAATCGTCTTGTTGAGGATGGTTTGCATCTCATGGCCCTGGATTTGTCCATCCGGTAGATCCACGATCAAATCGGCAAACTAATGGCAATTTCGAAAATTCATGGTTCACAAGGGAAATGTATTCTATATTGTTTTGCTCACCACAGAAAATCCCAAAAGGGAGAGCACCAAAATTATTTTGAACATGATTGGCCTTCTTCTGTGAGTCGTGCCATAAAGCTGACCGTATATATTGTTTCAAAAAGATAAGATTAACTAAATTTAACAATATCCAATTGAGATAAACGGACGCGTGACAATGTGGGTTCGAGTGCTTAAACATGTCTAATGAGCCGTTCCAGAATAAAGGCCAAAGCGTAAGACAAATGTGACGTTGAGTTCTGGGGAACAGTAATTCGGAAAGAGCTAAAAAGTAAAGCACCAAAAATATTTTATTGTTCAGCAATTAAAACACAATAAGTGGATGAGCTTCGTATGTATCGTAAATCTTGCTCCACGTTGTAAACTCTCCCATATTGGGTGATTTCGCTACTAGCGACTCATCTATATCGAGGTACTGGATGTTGTCTGCAGTAACTTTGGGCCACGTGATGTTTTGCAACAATTCGGATTCGTCAGGAGTTGGATTTCTATAAGAAAGTTTAAATGTATATGCTACTTGTCGATGCTATTAAATACTCACAGAGTCTTGGCAAAATTAGTCCACAGTTTGGTAAATCTTCTTCGTGTTAATAAATCTGCGTCGGTACCTATTGGATAGGGCTCCATCTTGAACAGATAGGCCAGCTCATCGAAATGAGCGACTTTCCCAGCCCCTAGAATGAAACATTGGGGAAATTGAGATTTTAGATTTTTTCATAGACAGTTCTACCTTCTACTTTATAGTTAGGCAAGCTTTTGGTTCCGTAAAATGAGAACTGGTACATATAGACGGACGTATAGTTGGACGCAAGTTCGGCTTGCTTTATTGTAGCTCTTCTAAATATATTATCCGTAGAGTACTGTAAAAATTCGATTTATGTAACCTCCATGATGATTATCAATAACAAACCTCGAGCGTTTTGGCTAGGTTTACGAGAAACGATCCGTTGTTACCTACGTAAGCGTTTCGTATCAGTTCCCCAACAAACGTTCTGTTCGAGTCCGGTAAGAGATTCCAAGTGGTTGGAATCAGCTCGGTTGAGTCTTCGTCAAATGTCTGCGCAGCACTTTTGGCATTCTCTAGGGCTAAAAGTTTTTCATCAGATAATGGCTACAACGTGCGATATAGGGCGTACAAGTCAGGAAACTCAAGGATTCTTCCGAGTTGGTTCCCAAAATAAGAGGCACTTGATTAAATCGTCCCGAAACCAGAAGTTCGTAGTTAGGATCTGATATGAATGCTTCCTCGTCATCTATTTCTAAGGTAGGCACAAACTACATAGGAAAGGTTTATTAATTTCTTTTAATATCTTTATATACCAGCTTACGCCATGAACGTCTACGTAGGCGCTCGCGTCATTCAGATCTTCAGCAGATTGTTTTAACAGGAAATCTCTAATATGCTCGGTGGTATTATTCTCTGATATGTTATTGTCCAGGACTTGGGCCAACTGGTATATAAAAGATTTGGCTTCCAATTGGTAGGTGACGCTCAACGAACATCCGCTATGACAAATAGCAGCCCGAAACAACCCTGAAAATACTCAATAGGAGATCACAAGATTTTACATTTAATACTTACCTGACGATTTTTGACTCAAAAGATGTAACCCTATTGACATCCCACCTGCACTTTCACCAAAGATAGTTATTTTCTCGGGATCGCCTCCAAATAGCGCAATGTTAGTCTTGGTCCACTTGAGTGCCAGCAACTGATCTTTTAAACCAACATTTCCAAGGATCGCTTTATCCCCGGTGGACAGAAAACCAAAAGGACCTAATCGGTAGTTAAATGTCACCACGATCACGTTTTCCTCAAGGAGGTAGTCGGGTCCATAATATTTATATGAGCCACTACCAGTTACAAATCCCCCACCATGTATCCAGAACATTACTGGGAGCTGTTCTGAAATCTAACATACATCGACGGATATAGATTAGTATTTAAAGTCGAATCGGTTACTTACATTCCAAGACGGTGTGTATACATTGATAAATAAGCAGTCTTCCCTTATGGGCCTACCATCTGGGAAGTAATCGATTAGAAAGAAACAAGAAGCACCCTCCTCGCTGGCGTTTCTGATTCCACTCCAGGGTTGTGGTGGTATTGGAGGCTAGGCAAGAATAACTCGGATATATATTAGTGACTATTACAGAACGGCTGCGTTTGGCTTACCTGAAATCTTAGCTCTCCCACTGGCGGGGAAGCGTAGGGTATTCCGTGGAAAGCGTAGAAGGATTTGTTTTCAGATGATAGCATTTGGTGACCTTCGATGCTTCCATCTGGTAGATTTACTATCAAATCCGACACCTAATGGCAATAAGCAGTAAAGAGAGTGTTTTTAAGAAGAAGAATGCTGCGCTTTTTTTGCAATTCATGATTGGCTTCACTATATTTTAAATTCATTATTTAGTGTCCTTTTTTCAAAATGGGAGCTTTTCAGCTATTTATGAAACCGATTGCGAATGTAATAACGAAATATCATGTTGCAAATGATATTATTTAAACATTAATCATTAAGTTACTTATCTTCTTAGTTCATATTTCTCTTCAATGAACAGCAACACAAAATACTCACCACGGGTGACAAAATAACACCAAAAATTGCAACCCCCACGAAGAACATGGTCTAATTAAAAAAATAATTTTACCAGATACAATGTAACAATTTTCGATTTCGACAATAAATGAGTTTTTTGAAACCAATAGCGATAAGAATTACATATCTTGAGCTTTCATTATCGGAAATTGTTCACACGTAAAGTAGATAAGAGCTTTCTAAGAGTGTTGATTAGTAAAAGCTTGGTGCGGGATAATTGTAAAAAAAAGTATAACAAAAAGAGGCGGTAGAAGTTAAAACATTTTAAGAACTTAATGATCTAACAGAAAACATCAACAAAAGACCTTTAAAGTTTTAGATTTCAATATCAGAAGCATTTCAAAAAACATTGATGAATTGATGAATGGTTAATTTCGCACCGATGACTTGATGTACAAGTTTGGGAATATAAATATCAATAATGGCAGTATAATCTTTATTAAAAAAATATAGTTATTAAACAAAAATTGTTTATCTTGGGAAAATAGAGATTATTGAAATTTTAATTAGAAGTTTGTTGGGAAAACATTTACGTATCTCTGCAATATATCGTCCTCTGTCTGCTCCTGAAAATTCACTGTTGGGAAAGCTTTATCCATATCTAACTATTTAAGACAAGTCTGCACACTGACAGGTGACCTAAACATAAACATATTAAAAGAAAATACTGATACAGTAACCGATATTTAAACGTTTTAAGTAGATATGGATATATATCATTAGTCAATCAAATGTTTGGTTGATGTTTGGACCACTTTTTTATAAAAAGCAACATGCAACCAACCAACAAAAACTCGCAATTCACATCATTGGCCAGTGTCTCTATCTTCACCGTTTTATCCAGTTACAATATTACACAAATTATGCAAAAGTAAAAAAAAATATAGCAAATAAGTTCAAATTTTTTAAATATGTAAACGACCGCTGTGAACTCAACAAAAATAAAAATAAACAGTTATTGTAAAAAGAGAAAACTATGGATGACCATGAACCGTTACAGTGAGTAAAAAACAAAAACGAGCTTTTCAAAAATTTCATGGAAAATCCTGTCTTGTACAAAACAGAATACTGGAGATATAAGAATCACTTAAACCGACTTATACAGACAAGAAAAAATAATTATGATCAACAAAAATAGCAGAAAATGGTGGAAACGCTAAAGCACTCTGGGATACAGTAAATACAATAAATAAGAAAAATAGAACAAACAAAATAATACAAATAAGAACTGTAGAGAATGTACAATTGAAAATGATTTTCAAATTGCAAAAACTTTTAACAACTATTTCTCAAACGTGGAGCAAAAGCAGAAAATATAATACAAAAGTATAAATTTAAGTGAAAACGACAAAATAATTTCTATAGGATTGCTGAAATTTGAAAAAATCACCAGGTTTTGATAACATAAATATAAATAATAAATAATATAAATATAACTAAATATAACTGGAAATTTCTGTAACAGAAATCTGTCCTGAAACATTTAAATTATCTATTGTAAAACCCCTATCTAAAAAAGGCTACAAAAACCTCCCAGAAAAACATCGATTACTTGTATGTAACATAGCAAAAATTTTTGAGAAGAGAGATTAGGAACGAGAGAGATAGAGAGAGAGAGAGAGAAAACAAAAAAATTTTAAATACACACATTTACAGCTCACTGGAAGACAATAACAAAAAATTTGAAATGTTTCTCGATTATTCCAAGGCTTTGACACAGTTGATCATAAACTGATGTTGGAGGTCTTGCAGGACTCTGGCGTGCGCGGAATACCATGGAAACTATTTTAAAGTTATTTTACTGAAAGAATACAGAAAACAAAAATTAATAATACTTATGGTTTTCCTATGGTGTCCCCCAGGAATCCGTTTTAGGGCCAAAATTATCCACTCTACACTTCTTCTTTGTTTTGCGAACGACCATATCCTGTACGAAGATGATTCTTGGGATAATCTCAAAATCAAAGTGGAAAATGATTTTAGCAAACAATCGAGCTGGTTTAAACAGATGTGTGAATGAAGAAAAAACAATTTTGATGCCATTTTCGCGCATTAAAGGGGGTTTGCCAAATTTTCACATTTTAGATATATAAACAAGAAGCAATAAAGTTGACCGAAATTGAAATATTTAGGAATGACAATGGACACACAATTATAATGCAATAAACATTTACAAACAGTAGCAAACAACCTAAGGTCAAATTCATTTTAGACACATTTTAAATAAACATCAAATATTAACACTTCATTTTGCACGTTTACAATATGGTGTTTTGGGATTGGGAAGGGTACAAGTAATACATCTGAAAAAATTGGAAATTGTTCAAACAGTTTATAGTTTTCCGAAAAACTAGAAATTACTGCACTATTTAACAACGGTTTCAAATATTTTCAAAAACAAAACCGGACTATAACATTACATTATTACAATTCTCGAAATAGAGAAAAGGGTGATAACAAATTAGTGTAAAAAACAAATAGCATTTAAGACAGAGATCTGTAAGCCTCTAAGCACCAAATATAATATAAATATAAAAAATATAATATAAATATACAAATAAAATAATATATATAATTTTAATATATAATATATAATTTAAGGGTTTTAGGGAGAATTTTGATGTTTTTATTTTGTCGATATTAAAAGTAAACGAATTATTTTTAAATTAAATTTGCCGTTGTCTGTAGAATAAGTATATTATTATTATTTTAAAAGAAGGATATAATACAAAATTGTCCATTACAGCAAACATTACAACTTCACTTAGTGACTGATAATTTGGGAATGAAGTCAAAACAATATTTTCAGTTTTCACCGTAGACCAGAAATTTTTGTGTACTTTACTATTTAATGTCACAACCAATTTTATACGAGATTTGTGGGGTTTTAAGAGCTGCCAGATATAGGTTATTAACGTTCAAAAAAATGAATAGTAGTTTGATATACGGTTTTGGCTGTTCGATAAAAGAAAAGTTTAGCAACTATTTATTTCAAAAGTATTGTCAATACTATTTAAAACACAATAAACGGCCTTTCGGCATACGTATAATAAACCCTATTCCACATTGAAAATTCTTCCATATTAGGCGACTTCGCTTCGAGGATATCACCGATATCTAAGTACTGAATGATATCCGGTTGCACCGCAGGCCAGACAATATTTTGCAACAACTCTGAAGCCTCGGGAGTTGGATTTCTGTAAAATTAACCTGAGTATGCATCGCCATCACCCGATTCAATCTGAGACTCACAGTGTTTTCGCGAAGTTAGCCCACAATTTCGTAAACCTTTTGCGGGTCAACTGATCTGCATCTGTAACCAAAGGATACGGCTCCATTTTAAATAAATATGCTAGCTCGTCAAAGTGCGCTACTTTGCCAGCTCCTGAATAATAAGTTGAGATTAGTCAACGCCAAGTTACGATTCTCTCCTACCTTCTACTTTGTAATTGTTTAAACTCTTGGTTCCATAAAATGAAAACTGGTACAAGAATACTGACGTAAAGTTGGATGCTATCTCGCCTTGTTTTATGGTGGCTCTTCTAAATATGTTATCCGTAGAGTACTACAAAAATAGCTGTTACAAACATTTCTCTAATGATTTCGGAACAAACCTCGAGAGTCTTGGCTAAGGTTGCATAAAATGATCCGTTTTCCCCTACATAGGCGTTTCGTATCGTTTCCCCTACCAAAGAAAGATTGGCGTCAGGCAAAATTTGCCAAGTGGACGGTACCAAAGCAGAGGGATCTTTATCAAATGTTTGAGCTGTTTCCTTTGCGGAACTCAAAGCTTAAAGCTAGCGATTAATGGGATATATTATATAACTTTGCAATATTTACTAGTTACAAAACTCAAAGACTCTTCAGAATTAGTGCCTAAAATTAGGGGCACTTGATTGAACCTCCCCGACTCGAGCAGTTCGAAATTTGGCGCTGATATAAACGCTTCGCCGTGTTCTACTTCGATCGTTGGAACAAACTACAACATTAAACCATTTTTTTTTATATGAAATATGATCACAATACCCATTACCCCATGGTGGTCCAGCTGATGACTGGCCTCCATTATATCCTCTGCTGATTGCATTATCAAAAAATCTCTAATTTCAACGCTACTATTTTTTTCGGAAATACTGCTATCCAGTTGTTGGGCGAGACTATATAGGAAGGGCTTAGGGTTTAAATTATATGTGACGCTCAACGAGCAACCGCTATGGCAAATTGCTCCCCTAAATAAACCTGAAATTTGGTTAAATCGTAAGATCGTAAAAAATACTATAGAATTGTATTCGTAGAAAGAAAGCATTTGAAATTCTTAATTTGTAATTTACGTAACGCGATGCCCTTCAATTTGACACCTACATGACCCTACATGACGCTTTATGCTGTAAAATTTAAACTAGGCTGCCATCTCGCGATGAGTGGCGAAACTACATATGAGATGATCACTACGGGATGGGGGGCATTGAATTAAGGATTTCCTTCTACTGCTACTTCGACTTTTGGTAATTTACCTGCCGATTTTTGGCTCACCAAATGTATTCCAACTGACATCCCGCCAGCGCTCTCGCCAAAAATTGTTATTTTCTCTGGATCACCTCCAAAAAGTGCGATATTGTTCCTGGTCCACTTCAGTGCCAAAAGCTGGTCTTTCAATCCAAAGTTGCCCAGTATCACATCATCTCCAGTAGATACAAATCCTAATGGACCCAATCTGTAGTTAATAGTTACCACAATGACTTCTTCTTCCAATAGGTAATCTGGGCCATAGTACTGATAAATGCCGCTTCCAGTTTCAAATCCTCCCCCGTGTATCCAAAACATCACAGCAAGTTTTTCTGAATTCTGAAAGCTACGTGCGTTTGACCAGGTTAGCTGAGATGGGTAAATATTTTACATTTAGCGATGGAGTGTAGACATTCAAGTACAAACAGTCTTCACTCTTGGGACCATCGTCGGGGAAGTAATCGATTATGAAGAAGCAAGATGGGCCTTCTTTAGTGGCGTCCCTTACATTATTCCACGGTTCTGGTGGTATCGGTGACTGATTTGAAGAATACACTTGGAATGTAAGAGATCTTTGTTACTTACTTGATATCTGAGTTTGCCTATTGGAGGAGACGCATACGGTATTCCGTGAAACGCGAAGAAGGTCCTGTTTTCAGACGAAAGCATTTGGTGTCCCTGAATTTTGCCATCTGGTAGTTCAACTATCAGATCCGAAACCTACGAGTAAAATATGGAAATGAAGATTGAAATGACCTTCTGTTACTACTTACTGCAAAAGAAATATGTATTAAGAGCAAAACTAGTTCACGCATTTTTGTTTTAAATATAGTACGATTCACTTTAAGAAACAAATGCCTGTTTTTGGTAGTAGGAACTCAGAACTGGTCTCAATAACAATAAAAAAGAATTTGATCTTGTAAAATCCGCAAGCTTTGTGAAAAATAAGTGTGATTACCAATTACGTAAACACTTGAGTTATCTCACTTTATCCACTTCGATATTTTGAAAGCAATCTAATAAAATAACAAAAATTTTCACGATATTAAATGAAGTGTCCCACGATGCTGGCGAATGTCTTTTTGTGCTTGTTTCTTTCAACTGCGGTAAGCTGGGTATCATTTAACCTAGAGCGGTGGCAAATATTGTCTTCAAATACTTCTCAATTTTTAAAATTGAGAAACAATGTGCAACTTATTGGTTTATGTTATCAGCTGGGAGACTTAATCGTAACCATACCAGATGGACAGCTGCAAGGCAAGGAGCGTAAAACCGACCAGAATACTCCATTCTACGCCTTCAAGGGAATTCCTTACGCGGCTCCTCCAATAGGCAGTCTTAGATTTCAGGTAAAATAGAAAAGTGTGAACTCGGCTTATTGAGTGATGTTTGGTATTGCTCTTTAGAGTCCTCAACCCCCTCAGCCATGGAGTGGTGTCAGGGATGCCACAAATTATCAGAGTTCCTGTCTCGAATTCGTTCATTATTCAGATGATCCAAATCCAGGTCCGATGAGCGAAGATTGTTTGTATCTCAACGTTTACACTCCCACAACAGATGTGAGTATATCTACTAATAACAAGCAGTCACCATGCGATATCTTAGGTTGCAGCAAACTTACCAGTCATGGTGTGGTTTTATGGTGGATCGTTTTTGACCGGAAGTGGTATATACGACTATTTCGGCCCGGATTACTTGTTGGACAATGAAGTCATTGTCGTAACTCTCAACTACAGGCTTGGTCCATTAGGTTTCCTGTCTACCGGAGACAATACCATTCTAGGAAACGCTGGTTTGAAAGATCAGCTCATGGCTTTGAAGTGGACCCGGGATAATATTCACCAATTTGGTGGCGACCCTAATAAAGTTACGATTTTCGGAGAAAGCGCGGGAGGGATATCAGTGGGCCTTCATCTTCTAAGCAAGCAATCTGCAGGTCTCTTTAGGGCAGCGATTTGTCAGAGCGGGTGTTCTTTGACTGCCCTGCTTTTTCAAGAAGATCCCTTAGCTCACGCTGTCGATCTGGCCAAGGCGTTCAACCCCAGCATCACAGTGCAAACTCCAACAGCAGAGATTCGTGATCTTTTGCAAAGTCAGTCAGCTGACAGTATCGTCAATGCCTTCAAGCAGATGTCTGACCAGGTAAAGTAGAGAGAATGTGTACTCATAGCCAAAAGTTCAATATTTTATGGTCTCAGGGTTGGGTAGGAACAGTACTGGAAGCCACAGACCAAGAAGCATTTGTAACTGAAGCAAATTATGGTCTGGTTCAGTCGGGAAATATCAACCAGGTACCACTGATATTGGGGACAACTTCGGAAGAGTCGCTGGGATTTCTTGGCAGTAAGTTATTAACCCACTCACTCTGATTATGAAAAATGTTACTATTTTAGGTTTGGATAATACGATTTATTGGTCCCAAGTTTACGATCAAGATTCGTCGACTTTGGTACCAGCCCATTTAAATCCCGTCGATGGAGCCGATACGAAGGCGATAGGACAGTTGATAAAAAATGCCTACGTTGGGGAAAATGGTAGATTTTCCGACAACTTAGGATCAGCTCTAGAGGTGAGACATCAGCAAATTCTGAACGAAATCTAATGGACTTATTTAGTATTATAGCGACAACGTATTCCTGAGAAGTACCCTCAAGCAAGCAGAACTCCAGTCTAGTTACACGTCCGTATACTTATACCAATTTTCCTTCTTTGGGACGAGGAGCAAAAACCGATTCAGCGTGCAGGGTTCGGGCAAAGTTGGTCACGCTGATGACGTTTCGTACCTCTTTAAGGTCTCTACTTACCCTCTCGAAACGGATGCCGATTTCCTGACACGGACGAGAATTTGCAAGCTGTGGACGAACTTTGCAAAGACTTTGTAAGTACAAGAACGTATGGGGAACTTAAGTGCAAGAACGTGTCTCTGACGAAGAGGTTTGTATTGCAGGAATCCCACACCCGAATCGGATGATTTGCTGCAAAACCTCACCTGGCCTGAAGTCGCCGCAGCTGACGTGAAATATTTCGACATCGACGATGTTTTGGAAGTCAAAAGTAACCGAAAAAGTAACGAGATGATAGTTTGGACAAACATTTACGACACGTACGCCAAACGTCCGATTGTTACTTATTAAATGCGATTTTTCCTTTGAATACAAATTTACAACGGTTTTGGTTTTTACAGTATTAAAAAAATTACGCAATTCGCCTTAAGGAATATGCGAGTATAATATTTTTTTGGTCGATTTTCGTAATTTTTTCATCTTCCCCCAACTAATTTTATGATATGAAAACGCTTAGAGGTGATATTGTAGATATTGCCGGTAATATTCTGCTTCTATATATATATATATATATATATATATATATATATATATATATATATATATATATATATATATATATATATATATATATATATATTCATCCGGAAGGCAGAGGGAGCAGAAGTTCCATATTTCCACTACGTAGGATTTAGGGAAAAGAGACATATAATATTAGCCTTTCCATTTTACTTTAGTAGTTAGAAAGGCATGACATTCTAGAACCCCATATAAGGTCTCGAGGCGAAGTTTTCATATACATAATTCCACATTGCGTATTCTTTCGCTCTGTTATTCGGTTTCACGCTCAGAGTTTCGTCTATGTCGAGATAACGGATATCGCCATTTTCTACTTTGGGCCAGCTCACATTTTGCAGCAGCGACGACGTTTCGGGGGTGGGGTCCCTGAAATAACCAACGCAATTAAAGCGTAAAATGGCTCCAATGTATTTTCCTTACAAATATTTCGCGAAATTCGCCCACAGTTTCGCGAATCTTTTGCTAGTCAAGATATCCGCTTCGGCCGTTAAGTTGAGGAATTTGAACAGGTACGTCAACTCATCGCCGTGACCTACTTTACCGGCTCCTGTATATAGTAAAATTCTTTAATAAAATCGGTTACTTCGAGATTGACGGGCGTCACCTTCGATAACTACTCTAGTCTCGCTAGCGATACCGTAGTACGAAAATTCGTAGAGGTACACGGACGTATAATCTGACGCCAACTCCGCCTGCTTTAGAGTAGCTTTCCCGAACAAATTGTCGCTGTAATACTAAAGAAAAGTTACTAAAGTTATACCAACCGGGAAATTATAGGTACCTGCAAAGTAGCTGCCAAGTTATCGGAAAAGTTTCCGTTAGGTCCAACATACGCTTCTCTAATTAGATTTGCCGCGTCTTCTGGGGTGCAGTTTTCTTTCAGATGGATATCGTTCGGAATTAAAGTAGTTATGTCGGAGTCATAAGACGCCGCGGTAAGCGTAATGTTGTTTAGATCTTGAAAGAGACAGTTGATTAATCGTATTTGACAGACGGAGAGCGAAGAATTAAATAGAAAAATTACATTTCAGATTGTCAGGGCACAGTTTTGGCACCCTTGCTGTTTTTTATCTCTATTTTATCGTAAATATATTAGAGTTTTTCAATGGTCGTTATATAAATATGTATAGGCTAAACTTTTATAGTTTTGGATGATGATGTATAATGTAAAAATTAGTATTAACAACGAAAAACTTGTATGAAAGGGAAATAAAATACTTAGGGCAAAGTACGGCATTAAGGAAACGGACAGCCCTAGAGATTTGAAAGAAAATTGATATCAGGCATCAAACTGCTGGAAATTATTTTCGAGTTTCTCAAGTGGCCATCAGCATTTCTTATCTTGAATTTTAAGTTCGTTTCTACAAAATTTTCTAATATTCATTAGAGTTAAAGTAGTTAAAGTAGAGCAAATGTTTTAAAGCTGAGATGCATTCAACTGATTTTCTAAAGGCTGCTCGCTGTTTCTCTGAAGGGAATTAGGCATCTTGGCAAAGTGGAATTTTTTTCCAAAATGCAACTTTTTTTGAGCATTCACTTCTTTTAATCATATTTTAGGTAGGATAATGATATTAGGATACGATTTTCACTGGATTGTTATGTACTTATTTGATTATCTAATGCCGTAAAAAAGGCACATCGTTGGATTTGTTCTTTTTCCAGAAAATTATTTTTTTTTGCGATTATGTGGTCAAAAAACGACACCTGGTGGAAATGTAAGCAATCACAATTAATTACGAATGAAAACGTAGAGAAAGCCATTTTTACAACTCCAAATTTTATTAAAATCCTTGCACAGATAGAGCAAACAAAATTAAGCTTTAAAACAGTACTCATTTTAAACATATAAGAAATTTTTGAAGAAACAGAGTTTTAAAATTCAAGATAACAATTACCCCATTTTAGAAGCTCGAAGCTAATTTCCACTACTTTTTCTTGGATGATTTTTTTTTAATTTCTAGGATGGTTCATTTTTCTAATACAATACCTTGTTGCTCTTTCTGGGACACTACATTTACTAAAAAAATTAACTTTATATCCAGAATAGTCAAACATTTGTCTATGAACACCATCTTATTGTATTATAGAATTTTGTTTTCTTCAATTTACCAATTTATAATAATAAAATACAAAACAAAAATTTTAAAAACAAGGTCTCAAAAATTATTATTATAAAAGATTACACGTGGCTCGCCCACACAGACATCATCAGACATATAAAAACGGCCCTCATACGTAAATAGATCATCGAATATGGCGATTGGTTTTATTTTCTAATATTTATATCTTACATTAATTTTCTATTTTTTATCTAGTGTTATGGTGAAAAGAGATTATTATTGTTATTATTTATATTATTCTGAATTGCAGATAATACGCTAAATGTAAACAATTACTTATATATTTGTATGTTGGCTTATTTCTGGTTTGATCCATCATGCATTTGATAATGAATTTTTGGTCGTTACATTTGTTTTTACTATAATTTTTATGTTTTTCGGTCAAAGAGGTTTAGCGTCAAAGAGGTTATAAATTTGCTCACGGCTCGTAAAGTTCATTTCTATGCTCATAGTCGTGTTTGCTGCTGCAAGATATATGGCCAAAATATTGGTCTATTCACCTCCAATAAAACCCAAACATTCCTCAGAGACTGTGCCTAGTATGAGAGGAACTCGGCTAACATTTCCAGTTTCAACCAGATTGTAATTCAATTCCGTGATGAACGAGTCAACATGGTCGACCTCCATTATGGGAACAAACAGGTATGTCTACAACACCAAAACTGGAGCAAACATATGATAGCGTACGGACAGTTTCAAACCAACCATCGGATTCATGTCTATCGACTTCGACAAGATGGCATCGGCCGACTGGTTCTGCAAAAAGTTTAAAAGATCTACGGACGATATGTTTCTGGGCAATTCGGAATCAAGGCGCTGGGCTAGATCCAAGGCGATTTCTTTCGGCTTCACCTCGTGTAGACCCAGAAGTGAGCAGCCGCTCTGGCAAATAGCTGCGCGGAACAAACCTGTCAATATAAATATTTTCTTGCTTAGAAGTTCTATTAATTGAGCATACTTGCCTTTGGATTTTTTGTTGGTGATATGGTGTCCGACAGATCTTCCACCTGCGCTCTCGCCAAAAATAGTAATTTTGTCTGGATCGCCCCCAAACAGACCAATGTTACGGTTGGTCCAATTAAGAGCAAGTAACTGGTCTTTCAGTCCGGCGTTCCCCAAAACTACGTCATCGCCGGTGGATAAAAACCCGAACGCTCCCAATCTGTAGTTAAAAGTGACTACAACAACGTCTTCTTCGATGAGGAAATCCGGTCCGTAGAAGTTACCCGATCCTCCCACAAAGCCTCCGCCATGAATCCAAAACATTACGGGAAACTTTTGAGTATTCTAGATAACACCAATCATCATTTTAGTGTACTTTACTTAGTGGAAGAATATTCTTATATGCTTATTTTTATGTTGCTATGAAATGTCTGATGAAAAATGCATTTATTGTAAACTGGGCATTTTTTTCACTTCTTAAATCCTCTAAGATTAAACAGTAAGTATAAATTATTAATTAAAACAGAACCTTTATGAATTTTCACCACTGATTGTGTTAATTTTTGAAAATTTAGCATTTTTATTTCACTACTTTTTGAACTTACATTGAATGATGGAGTGAAGACGTTAATTTTTAGACAGTCTTCGCTCAGCTTGTCGCTATAACTCGGTGGGGTAAAGTCGAAAATTGCTAAACAGGCATCGCCTTTTTTGGTGGCATCCCGAACTCCTTTCCAATGTTCCGGATTTACGGGAGCCTGAAAAATAAACGCATAAATCTAGAATTTATTGTCGAATCCTGATGGATGAATGTAATTACCTGAAACCTCAAGTTACCCAAAGGAGGAGCCGCATATGGGAGACCCAAAAAAGCGTAATATGTTTTCCCGTTATCCGTTTGTAATTTGTGTCCTCGGATTTCTCCATCAGGTAGGGTGATTTGAGGGTGAGAACCATCCTCAAAAATTCATATATACAGTTAAAATTATAGAAAAGCAACATTAAAAATAAAACTTACTGCCTGAAGAAAGAAATAACAGCACCAGAAAATCGTGAAAAACATTTTGATTTCTATATGTAACTGTGCACTGCAACGACGAACGAACCTGCGTAAATATATATAGGTATACAATTCAAAGTATTTTTGTACTTGAGATAATAACATTGTATTGAAGATTTTTGTTGTTTTTAGGTCAAACGTAGTTGATCGATTACTTTTCTTTTTATTTCCTTGTTTGGTGCTAAGTTAGAAACAAAGCAGCAGTAATAGAATAATTCCATTTCCATTCCTTCCTGCAAATGTAAGTACTGGGTTTGTTTGTATATTTTTAACCCTACCTACCATTACCCTTTTGATTATAATTTTTTAATATAATTATAGATGAGTTCATATCTATTTTAAATGCGCTGGATCTCCATTTTTCCTAGTTGTTTATTTTCCGATCAACAGAGATAATTTTTCTTCCATTTAGCCGGGGTTGCAGCTGGTAATTTAAATAAATACCAGTGAAATTAAATGATTCGTCGAAAAGTGACTTAGGCTTAGCTTCAAAAAGCACATACTTGTGTGATAGATTTACTAGGTGGATTTCATTAAAATTCACTTCAAAAATTTAAAATGGCTCTTCCGCTCTACGCATCTTAATAATCTGAAAATATTTTCTAGTCTTCTTTTGGCCACTTTGGTAACCAAATCGCCACAACAAACAGCTTTCTGTGTTCCACTTAAGAACTGTACACTCTTGTGAAATCTTTGTTTAGGGATCGGATTTTTTTAAGAATAAAGTGTCAACAAATTATTATTCAGGACTACATAAAACCTAATACTATATTATGCAACAAGTGCGGTAATTTAACTCACGAGTTTATTTGACACGAGCGGAGCACAGCGGGGCGAGTGGGTAATAAACAGGTGACTTAAAAAGTTTTACTTTTTCTACGACCGTTAGATTTTGGGTACATTTTCGCAAAACAACAAGAATACATTCACTGATATGACCGTCAGAACTGACAAATGTCAAAATTCAAAGCGTGGGAAATATATCCGATTGCTCTCAAACACGCGCGGTAAAATCGCAGAAATCTCCGAAGTGACTCGGATCCATGGGAAACGAAACTGACGTGGTAAAGTGACGCTTGCCGCAAGCTAGATCGGTGTGTAATTAGGTATTTTACAGACGCGAGTACAAAAATATATTAATTTCCGGTTCGAATACAGGGTGCTCGAAATATCGCGGGCGCCTCGCTTAAGCATTACTCCTGTTGAATGTTTATAGCTCATTTTTGGTAATTCTTTTTGGCTAGATACATCTTTTGAAGCGGTAAACAGAGAAGTACTTCTAGAGAATTTTTCAAATTGCAAATTAAAAAAATAAATATTGTAAACCTTGTAAATAACGATTATTTTGTATATGATATTAGGATCTTACAAATTGCAAAAATAATGATAAAATAGTATATTATGCAACAAGCGCGGTAAATGGAATTTGACTTACGAGTTTATTTGACATGAGCGGAGGGAGTTAAAAAGTTTACTGAACCTGTTGCATACTATACTTTTTCTACGACCGTTAGTTTTTGGGTACATTTTCGCAAAACACGAATACATTCATTGACATGACTGTCAGAATTGACAAACGTCAAAATTCAAAGTGTGGGAAATATCTCCGAAAACATCCGAATGCTCCCAAACCCGTGCGGTAAAATCCCGGAAATGTCCGAAGTGGCTCGGATTTGTGGAAAATGAAACTGACGTGGTAAAGCGACGCTTGCCGCACGCTAGATCGGTGCGTAATTAGGTATTGTACAGACGAGAGTAGAAAAAAATACTTTTTAAGGACATTTATTTTTTAGTATCATCTTAAAACTACAGCTTTAATAAATCTTAGTATTCGAAAGGTATAATGTAAACAAAATTAAAATATAAATTAGTGAGTGAATTTGACAGTCGAATATTCGCTTTTCCATGGCAATTTTTAATTAAACAAATATAATTTTAAGAAAATCGTTACTGTCTTTCAGTGAAATCTATCCAACAAAAAAAGAATGATCAAAATTGAGCATCGAGCACCCTATATTGGAACTTCATGGAAATAAGTATGGTTAGGTTTTATGTAGTCCGGAATCAGAATTCGTTGACGCTTAATTCTTAAATAAATCCCTAACAGCTCTTTTCGATATTGGACCTCAAAAATTAGTCCCACTTAGTCATGACTTCAGGATGATGTAATAAGAAACATAGGGTTTTAGTGCATTTTTGAGAGATCTATTTAACAAAAAAAAATTATCAAAATCAAACTTTAACCCTGCATTGAAACATTATAAAAATTGGTATGGTTCGGATTCCAATTATTTAAAAAAAAATCCCCAGTGGCACTTCTCTCTTCTCTCTCTTTTGTTAAATAGTCCCAGTTGACCATGACTTTAAGTTTAAGCAATAAGCAATACAAGATTTTAGTGCATTTACCATATACATAGGTTTTACAAGGGTATACAGTTCTTAAATGTGACACACTGTATATATTTTATCTCTACGTTTTCGTGTCACAAAATACCCAAACGTGACCAATGTTACACTACAATTGATTGACGCGCGTTAGTGCTTCGAAGTCATTGTCACCAGAAAGCTGAGATCAAATAACCCAAAATGCGGAATCAATATCAATAACTTTCAAAAAAACTTAATTTAATTTCTATCTTAAGAGGTAAACACAAAGGTCAAAATGTTACGAAGGGTCTGGCACCCCACTTGAAGAAAGTGTAGTTCCACTTGAAGTAGGTCTCTTCCTTCAGATTAATACCGAGATCTATAGTGTCGCTTATGTTTAGGTACACTAAATTCTGGGGCTGCAGTTTTGGCCACATAACGTTCCCGAGTAGATCTTCACTGTTGGGAGTCGGGTTCCTGCAATGAATCATTAAGTTTTGCTCCAGCAGAAGTTGACTAAAGATCCTACAGATATTTCGCAAAATTGGTCCAGAGCTTCACCATTCTTTCAATCGTCAACTTGTCACCTGCATTAATTAGCGATATGTCTTTACGCACAAACAAGTATCTTATATCATCGCCATGCTCGCATTTCCCTTCAGCACCTACAGTGATGAAACAGTGTGTTGTTAGGCCATTGAGATGTAGGACTACTTACCAAGTACATCCAGGTGAGGAGTATTCAGTTCGCCCGAGTAAGCAAATTGATACAAAAACACATCAGTGTATACGGATTGAAGTTCCGCATGTTTTATTACTCCTCTATTGAACAAATTATCACTCTTGAGCTGCAACAAGCTGTATAAGTAATGGAGGCAACTTATTGCTACGTTATTCCTACCTGCACCGCCTCGAACAAATTCTCACTGAAGCTACTATCGTCTTGGATGTACATATCTTTAATAAACTTTTCTATTTCGGGATCATCCGATGCATTGGCCGGTACGAAACCATAAGGAAATATGTATTCTTCCTCTGTGTCCAATTTTTTGGCTTCAATGTTTAACTCGTCCCAACCTGAAATGTCCAACACGCAGTGATCAAGGTGCTATCAGAAAATGATAACGACTCACTTGGAAGTTGCGTTAGAGCCTCTTCGGAGACGATTCCCGTTATCAACGGGACTCGATTGAAATCGCCGCTCTCTAGAAGGGTGTACGGACTTTCCCACAGAAAGGCGTTTTCGTGTTCAACCTCGATGGAAGGCGCCGGTAGACCCTACCACGAAATCCGACCAATAAAACAAAGGAAACAACAAACAATACTATGAAAATGAATAACAGCGGCCAAAAACTTTAACAATTCATAAGATTCTTTACTTTAGACAAATTGTGCAAATAAATAAAATTGATGGAATAATGATACCTACATCTTCCTTTTCGAGACTGATGCTAAGGATATTGCCGGCTGTTGTAATAGCTTCAAGCGACTGTGCGTTAAGGAACTCCAGTAGCTGCGATGAATTGTGGCTTTCTTCGGATACTTTCTGGTCTATTAAGTTCGCCAGCAGATAAGCGTATTTCCTGGGAGACCGATAGATAGAAAAGGGAGTTAGCGCGGAACCGCTTTGACAGATCGCTGCTCTGAACAACCCTGAAAAAGGACAAGAAATGGCATTCTGACGACTACTTTCCTAATTTTAGTACCTGCAGATTTTCTACTAACAAGGTGGAGACCACACGCGCTTCCACCAGCACTCTGGCCGAAAAGCGTAATTTTGGAGGTATCCCCTCCGAAAGCTCTGATGTTTTTTTTTATCCATTGTAGAGCTATGAGCTGATCCTTCATACCGGCATTTCCGGGAACCACAGTGTCTTCGGTAGAAAGGTACCCAAAGGGGCCTAATCTGTAGTTGAACGTAACGACCACGACATCTTCCTCGACAATAAATAAAGGATTGAGTGCTGACATTCTTCCAGACCCGTAAGCGTATCTACCGCCGTGAATATAAGCCATAACCGGTACTCTTTCCTAAAGAAACGTCTGTAACGCTGTCTTTCATTTTAGCCGGATGCAGATGCTTACCGACATTTTTAGGGAAGGCGTGTAAACATTTAACTGTAGGCAATCTTCGCTTTCTTCGGCGGGTTCGTCCAGGTACATGGCACCAACGCAGGATTTTCCTTCTTTGGTTGCATCCAAAATTCCGTTCCATTTTCCTTTAGGTTGGGTTTCCTGAAAACTCAAAGTTTTGTAAGCTGTTTATGTGAATAATTACATTAAAGGACTCTAAACTTATTTTTATATAATAAGAAAATTTTCATTTGCAAAACAAGAACTGAATAAGACCCCAGCTTAAAATCGGATGTTAAATTTTCTTCTACAGTGTAGGTTCAGAAGAAGATAATTCTGCCTCTTTGTCCGGAAGATAAGTAAAATTCTTAATTTTTTATACTTTATACTTAACATTTTCAATATGACAACTTCCAATCCAACTACGAATATTTGCAGGAGATGGTAGGCTACTTTTGTGAAGAAAATTTTCCATAAATTAATAAAACAAACCGTAAAACAGAACGTGCAAAGTGTTTAGGTATCAGTTTTATGTATTTTCTACCATTTTGCTGCTATAGTGGAAGAACGAAAGCCAGCTCGGCAAAAATTGTAAATTATCTCAAAAATCATTCAAAATTTTTATAATCATTCAAAATTTTGATATGGTAAGTAAAATTACATGTTCTTTTTAAGTGATTAACCTTGCAGATAAAACAACACGTAACATTTTTTTGATACTTGTTGCGTTCTAGGAGTTATATTAAAACTAAAAAAATTCTTCATAAACTGTCAAAGAAAAACCATACACGGCTAAAGGATTTTTTTACTTACTTGAAATCTGAGCTTCCCAAGTGGTGGGACAGCGTATGGTATTCCTTGAAATATATGAACTGCATGATTATTTGGACTTTTTGATATGCTGCCCTTAATCTTTCCGAGGGGAGTGCTTACGATGACGTATTCCGACTGAAATTTGTAATTTTTTCAGTCGCGAAGTAGAACTACTCTGAACAAAGTCTGTTTCGGTTTTGTTCTGCTCACCTACCGAAAACGCCGGCCACAGCAACCACATGCACACCCCCGTCGCCAGTAACAACAGGAACACCAAAAACACCAAGAAACCCCTCATTTCGCACTCAAAGGAAATACAGCTGATTAGTTTTCGATTTATATGGTTAATTGCAGATTTTATCTCGAGTAGGTATGCGCGGAGAAATTGTTATCGCGCTTTAATTTTTCGCCAAAATCACAAAAATTGGCAGAGCCTGAAATTGCCTTTGATTAAATTGTCACAGCTCTCGACAAAAACCCTCGCTTTACAAAGCACTAACTTTATTGGTTGCTCTTGCATGGTAAAACTCGTAGGGGTTTACCTTATCTGGCACTTCAGGTTGTTTACGAGAGGGAAAATGGGAGAGCCCGGGGTATTAGGACGAGTCGACTCTCTATGGGTGATCCGACAGTCACGTGGGTGTAGGCAAGCCACTTATACCATATGGCTTTTGGAGGTCCGAAGACGAACCAAATTTTTGCGAAGGCAAAGTAGTGAAACCAATGGATGCTGACTAAGTGTTTGCTCAGCAAGGATTGACTTAGTTAATTAAGATTCGCTAATTAAACCTTGTTTGAAACTATGTAACCAAATGTATGGAGTTGACGATTATTGTACTGACCATAAACGTTGTTGTTCCAGACTATTAATTATTGCTTTTTCTCTCTCGAAAAGTAATTTGGCAATAACAAAACAAGTATTGAATGGTTTCCAAAAGTTTATTTAAAGAAATGTTAGTACACTTTAGAAGTAATAGAACGGACGTTTTCCGTAAGTTTCGTATACATAGTCCCACATTTCCATTTGCTTCACTTTACCGTTGGGCTTCACTTGCAGGGTATCATCGATGTCCAGATACTGAATATCGATCGACGAAACTGACGGCCACGTTACGTTTAGAATCGGATCGGATGCATCAGGAGTGGGATTGCTGAAACGACGAATATTTGTTATAGCATTATCCAGCGATGATCTCATATACTGTATCTCATTCCTTTCTTGATATATAAAGCTTTTTTTGTTGTTGTTTATTTATTCATTTAAATGAGAAAGAACAATGTTAAATGCAGATGGGAACAACGGGCAGTGTAAAAAAAATCTCAATATAATAAAAAACAAAAAGGGACAAAAAAGCACAACAATAATCATCCGCAATAAAACGTATGATGTCAATTAAGCAGCCCTTATTGTCATTTATCATTTTCGTAAATATTCATATATGTTTGATTTAGTTCCATTACTTTTTTTGTCTTGACACGAGCGGAGCGCAGCGGAGCGAATTCTTAATATACGAGTGACTGAAGAATGTTATTAATGTGTTGCTTGTTATAGTTCTACGACCGTCATGAACTAGCAAGTAAATTTTATTTTATATATTTTTATTACCACACTGCACAAACGATTTTGAAGGTATTTTTACCCTCTTGTTGTGTTATTGAATATCATAAATAAAACACTATATATAAACAGCAAGAAAAAGTCACATATCCTTTTAATATTATTAAATAAAATTAACGCATTAAAATTCCTATTGACGTTTTATGGAAACTTCACTTAAGGCAGTCGAGGTTGATAATTTTTCTTGTACATCAGTACATATCGATATAATCGAGTACTTATGCTTATTATCGCAAAGTATACGGTGAGTCCCATAAATCTTGAAAATTGTATGGCCTATACAAAGTGAAAAATACACATTAGTTCCTGTTGGAATATTTGACTTTACTTACTTTACTTAAAGGAATATTATATGTTTTGTTGATTACTTGATTTGATTTTCAAAATTAAGGTATTGACTTGTAAAATTGCAGAGTCACGATGGCCTTTGGTTACTTCTTCACCGCTCGCCCTAAAGCTTTGAATATGGGCGTGACCTTTTATGTTATAAATCACATTCCGCTTTTTAAAATGAAACCACTATCTTAAGCAGCAACTCACAGTGTCTTGGCAAAATTTGTCCACATCTTAACCATTCTTTTCCGTGTTAAAAAATCTGCCTCTGTGGCCAGTGGAAACGTCGATATCTTGAAGAGGTAAGCCAGCTCGTCCGCGTGACCTACTTTACCGGCACCTGCAACCGGCACCAATAGAACGTTAGTGAATTAGATTTTGAACCAGATGTTACCTTCGATGACGGTGCGGTTTTGACTTTTCGTTCCGGCAAAGGAAAACTGGTACAAATAAACCGGCGTAAAGTTCGATTGAATCTTCACTTGCTTCAGCGTGGGCCTTCCAAAAATATTATCGCTGAAATACTAAAAGGAAGACTGTCAACTAACTGAGTGTGTTTATTGGATTTTATTTGAGCTACCTTCAAAGTTCTGGACAGATCTTCCGAGAATGTTCTATCTCTGTCAGTATAAGCGTCCTTAATTACTATCCCTGCTTCGGTTAAGTTCGCGCCCTCCAAAGGTACCAAATCCACAGGCAACAGAGCGGTTACATCGGCATCGTAAGACCGAGCTGCTTCCTCAATATCAGAGATGGCTGCAAAATTTAGTCACTTGAAACGACAAAATTAATGAATTAGTCACGTACTGGGCAGAAATCCAATCGATTCTTCGGAGACTGTGCCGATGATGAGAGGAACCTGGTTGAAATTCCCTGATTCGAGCAAAGGGACAGCTGGTTTTGTTATAAACGCGTCTTCATCTTCTACTTCGACCACGGCGCCTAACTGAAATTTTTAGCGAACCACCGTGTATTGCAGATACCACAAAATTATCTACGTAATTAAATTGAAATATGCCTCATCACCTTTACCGTTTATCTTTCAGATCTACGTGTGATCTAAATTGTTTTTTAATAGCAATTGTTGAGTTTACAATATCTTTAAACGTATTTTGAAAGCAACGTCATAGGGAAATTGTTTCGAATTCTTATTGCACTACAATAGTTTAAGTAATATGCACCTTGAAAAAACTTACAAGAGAGCGATAATATGCTTGCAATGGGAAAAGGACCTATTTCCACTACTACAATTTAATCGCAGTTCAATCAATCAATTAATTTTGTATTATGAGATTCAAGTACCTCATTTATTGCAATGGTCAATGGTATAATTTTAATCTAACTGAATGCCTTTAAAGTATCACCTAACTTAAGTGCAGACGACAGGCCTAGCTCTAGGATTCTAGGTTACCTCAAAGTGAATAGAAACATCTTAGATAAAAGTAGTTAAAAAAAGTTCAAAACGACAAAAAAAATTAAGCAATATTTTTAACCCACCATTCTAACTTACCAGTAAACCTAATTCAGTTCCGGCCTGGGCAAGTACGTCGGAGGGTAGACTTTGCAAAAAGTCTCTTATCTCGGTGGTAGTGTTTTTTTCCGAAATGGTCGGATCAAATATCTTGGCTAAATCGTAAACGTTTTGCCTGGCGTTGCTCTGCAATACCGTCGTCAAAGAACATCCGCTCTGGCAAATAGCTGCTCTGAATAGCCCCTTGGACTTCGAGTTGACGACATGAGCCCCGACCGAAATCCCACCAGCACTCTCGCCGAATATCGTAATCTTCTCGGGATCGCCACCGAAGAACTCGATGTTTTTTTGCGCCCATTTAAGTGCCAGTAGTTGGTCCTTCAGACCTGCGTTACCCAAGATAGCTTTGTCCTCGGTGGATAAGAAGCCGTAAAAGCCTAGGCGGTAGTTCACCGTTACGATTATTACATCCTCATTGACAAGATCGTCGGGACCGTAGTAATCGTACGAAGCACATCCCCCGATAAACCCGCCACCATAAATCCAAAATAGTACCGGTAATTTTTCGGTGATCTGAAACAGTGCTATTTGTGGAATATTCCCGACACTCACAGACGGGTAGTTACTTGTCGGGCAGGTGTATAAACGTTCAGGTAAAGACAGTCTTCGTTTTGCTCGTCAATTTCGGGATCGCCATCAAAATGCATTACTACAATGCACGAGGCTGCTGTTCGATTCGCTTCTAGCACTCCTTCCCATGGTTCCGAAGGTAATGGAGCCTACATGCGTGTCCAAAAAAACAAATAAGCTCCCTTATGTTACCCGATTGCAAATTCACTAGCCAATAGCTTTAATATTACTATAATTAAAGTATTGCATTAACATTAACATTAATCCCTCCGACCTCCTAGGTTGTTTACAACTACAAGGAAAGTTAAGCTAAGTTAAACTATACCGGAAATAACGAAAACTTATTTTGACTTTAAACCAAAAGGGTAGTTTGTTATATGGAGCAAAGGTGGTTAGGGAGATATCACGCCACAAATATGGCGAAAAAATAATGTTTTTAGTTCTTTTTAAACCGATAATAGAGAGAACAATAACATATTACTAAAGTAATATTATTACAAAAACGCGCTTTCTGCGTATATTTTTTTTACCTTTTAACCAAATTTACATAAAAACTCGCGCAAAAAAAAATTCGATAGATGCGTTTATTATATTTCTTCCCACAATTTTTCATAAAGCTTGTAGTTTCCATGCGATGCATATATGCCATTATTGAATTAAAAACTTATATTGAACCGTTAAATGGTAAATAATTCGTATTATTCGTGTTTTTATAATAGGAATTTTCTTTTTTTAAGATTAAAAACGTTCTCGTCTTTTGGTTTATCCTGAATAACGTTCGAACCGTTGGAGCTACAAAATTGAAATTTGCCTTCTTTTTAAACCTCCACGATGCATATAAGCTTATAAGAAATGGCCCTGATCCGACGCTGGTATTCATCTTTTTTTCACGATTTTCGACTGTTTTGTGTACCTTGCTATGAAACACGATAAGTGTCCGAAATATGAAGCAATCGACTTCATATTTGACACATCTATGCAGCTTTGCCCCGTGACGGAACCTATTGAAAATGGGGGGGGGGGGAGGGATCGGGAAGCATTTTTTTTAAATTTAAAATCGCGTGTATAAAAAAGACCATTTTTCAAAAACCGTTTACAAGACCGAAAATATTCTTGAACCAGAAAACGCAGAGGAAACGACTCCATAAACTTTTATTTTTGACAATTGTTCAAAAATACGCAGGGTGTGCCGCAAATTCAAAAAAACTGAAAAACGGGTCCTTCTATTATTGAAAATTATCAATCATTTCAAATCTGTATTTTAGATGTCAGTTTCGTTTACATGACGACATAGCCGTGCAATATTAAAAAACATAATAAGTACTCCAAATTTGCAGCTACCCTCGTCAGACTTGGGAGAGAAGTAGAAGTCTTGACTCTCTTTTTTTTTTTGATTTATTTTTTGCAAAAAACAGCTTTTCCTCCAAAGCCATTCATCCGATCGAAAAAATTTTACATCCGTAATACGTGACAGACCCGGCGCTATAACTTTTGTTTTATGCATTTTTTCGATTATATACAACGTGTTTTAGTTATAGACAAAAATCTAAAAGATCCTGAAAATTGTTCTTTTGGAGATTAAATTATTAACCGTAAATCAAAACTCGTACGAACAATAGCCAATCCGTTCAAACAGTGTTATAGGCCGTATCAAGGGCTACAATTTTTGTATTTACGGTTTTCGTCTATCACATACGCTGTTCGAAATATTTCAAAAAATCCAAATGAAAATCACCATTTGGCGCGATGACGTCATTTACTATTACCACGTACTGCATGGTTTCAGAAAACAAGTAGTTTTTTGAAAACAATTCTCTTCATTGAAAAAATTCGGATACCAGGAAACTAAGGAAATCCAGGGCTAAACATTGTTGGAATTATATACAAGGTACGTCGTTTGTGGGCAAAAAATTCTAGTAGATCCTGGAAATTTCCGATTTTGTGGGTGAATTATTGGCGATACATGAAAAATTTTTAAAGATGTGATAATTTGTTATGAACAGTATCGTAAACTGTGTCGAGAGAGAGTTTGAGGTTTCGTCTATAATACAGGGGACGCAAGATATTTGAAAAAATATAATTTTAAATTGCAATTAGCAGTACAAATTTGGATATTTTCCGAATTGTACCGTAACTTTGAAGTTCGACGAGATGTGAGAGACACTTTATACAGGGTGTATTCACATCAAATTACATCGATTTTGCGGAACTTCCATAGTGGTCCGCGAAGCGCCATCTTTTTAAAATAAAAAGCTGATTCGCGCTATTTGCTACGAACTTGCCCCGCCCACCGACGATTTTTCGAAAGCAATCTTGTTACTACTACTGCAACAATTTATGTATTGTATAAAAAAACTTTAAACCCTGATATTAACCGCCTCAGATAGGTTGTTCGTAATTTATTTAATAGTATATGGCACATTTTTATTATTAAAATATGTTGGGAATAAAGCAAATAACATTTTAGTAACGATACCAATATACTAAAACTCATAATTTATATACGCACTAAATAACTAATCAAAACTGACGAAATAAAGACTTCATCTGAAAAACAGCTATATCATATAGTTCATCCTACCAACACATACCTAAGTGATAGGATCATCTAACTGCTTCATAATCACTATTTAGTTAAGTATTTTACGATATTACAACACAGTCATTATATAAAACCAAATTATTTGATTTAAGTAAAGCGTACTTATTTCATGAGCTATATACTTTTACACCAAGTTTTAGAAGGTAGAAGTCACACAATTGTTGACCAATAATGTAATTTTGTTACATAATTACAAAAAAAATAAGTGTTAGATACCGTAAACGCAGATTGTCGATGACAGTTTTTACCTGAAATCTCAATTTTCCAACAGGCGGACGACCGAATGGTATTCCTTGGAAAGCGTACATGCTGCTGCTCTCTGTTCTGATCTCATGACCTCTTATTCTGCCATCGGGGAGGTCGATCACGAGGTCCGCAACCTATGGAAAAAAGTATTTCCGTTTTTTCGAACCAAACACAAATATGCGTTATTTACGCAAATATATTATGTTGTTTGTTGCCTGTGCGAAATAAAGATTTTACAGTAAAGTACCGTTTTAGACTTAACATATATATCATATAGTAAATACTCATCAATTAAAAACTTCAAATTATAAACCATAACATAATTGGAATATTTATTTAGCTTCATTAATATTAAAGAAACCTTCATTTTCCCATCCAGGTTAGAATTTTGTTTGATACTTACAGCGGTTGATACTAACACAAGTAGTAAAAATACGCGCATTTCGAATGTTATTGTTTTAACCACCATCGTTCAATTTATACTCGAAACGTACGTACTTGAAGTTGATTTGAGTAGGTAAGAATAACAAACAAATTTTTTTGATAATAAATACTAAAATAATATCGGCTAATCATTATATAACAAGATGGCTTTCGAAAAATCGTCGGTGGGCGGGGCAAGTTCGTAGCAAATAGCGCGAATCAGCTTTTTATTTTAAAAAGATGGCGCTTCGCGGATTCTTGTTCTAGAGGGACGAACTGTTTTTCTATCGTGCTCCTGCGGTCCACTATTGAACTTTCGGAAAATCGATGTAATTTAATTGTGCATGTACTGTATAAAATGTCCTTCACGTCGCGCCGAACTTCAAAGTTACAGCAAACATCGGTAAATATTAAAATTTGCACAAATAATAGCGTTGTCGAATGATATTTTTGCAATTATCTCACCCCTTGTATAATTGACGAAACCATAAACTCTCTCTGAACGCAGTTTACGATACTGTTCATATCAAATTATCACATCTTTAAAAATTTTTCATGCATCTCCAATAATTCACCCACAACGTACCTTGTATATAATTCCAACAATGTTCGAAATACAGGATATAGCCCTGGATCTTCTTAGTTTCCTGGTATTCGAATTTTTCCAATGGAGTAAATGGTTTTCAAAAATCTACTTGTTTTCTGAAACCATGCAGTACGTGGCAATAGTAAATGACTTTATCACGTCTAAATTCAGGGCAAGAAATGGTGATTTTCATTTGGATTGTTTCAAATATTACGAACAGCGTATCTAATAGACGAAAACCATAAATACAAAAATTGTAGCCCCTGGTACGGCCTATAACACTGTTGGAGCGGACTAGCTATTGTTTGTACGAATTTTGATTTACGATTAATAATTTACTCTCTAAAAGAACGATTTTCAGGGTCTTTTAGATTTTTGTCCATAATTAAAACACCTTGTAAAGAATCCAAAAAATGCGTGAAACAAAAATTATAGCGCCGAGTTCTCCACGTGTTAAGGATGTAAATTTTTTTAGATTGGAGGAAAAGATGTTTTTCTGGATGCCAAAATAACCACAAAAAAAATCAAAAATTAAAAAAAAATACTTCGCGTTATTTCATTGCTCTCAATTTAAAGAGTCTAAATGCGGGTCCAGACTTCTACTTCTACTTCTCTCCCAAGTCTGAAGTCGGTAGCTGGAAATTTGGAGTACTTATTATGTTTTTTAATATTGCACGGATTATCGCGAACACCCTGTACAATACTTAAGAACCGTAAATACAAAATTTTAAGCTGTCTATATGGGCCATATCATCATGTAAAAAAAACTGACATTTAAAACACAGATTTGAAATTGTTGCCAATTTTCAATAATAGGGGGACTCATTTTTCAGTTTTGTTTTTAATTTGCGAAGCACCCTGTATATTTTTCAAAAATTTTCATCCCCCCAATTTTCAATTCGTTCCGTCACGAGGCAAAGCTGAATATATATGCAAAATATGAAGTCAATTGCTTCAAATTTCGGACACTTATCGTGTTTCATAGCAAGGTCTAAAAAACAGTCGAAAATCGCGAAAAAATATGGATTCCGGCGTCGGATCAGGGCCATTTCTTATGAGCTTATGTGCCTAGTGCAGGGTTAAAAAGGATTTCAATTTTGTAGCTCCAACGGTTCGAAAGTTATTCAGGAAAAACCAAAAGACGAGAACGGAGAACGGACAGACAAAAAAAATGTATTTTTTTACGGTGATCATTTCTGTACCAACAGCGATCCCGTAGGACTTACTGTTACCGAGATATAAAATTTTTATACGAGCGCACTTACTTTCGAAAAATTCGATTTAATCGATTTTCGAAAATAACAAGAACAAATCTCTATTCTGTTTCACGCTGTTTCTTTTTACTTTCAACTGGATCTCTACGAAAGTGAATATAAGAAAATCCAAGATCATATGGCCCGCTTCAAATCAACTACCGGCTAGCCTACTAAGTCTACTTGGTGAAAGGTTAAATAAAGGAGCCATGTTATTAATTATATTTTTAATTTTAAACTCAACACAAGTGTATTATTCCTGGATCGAAGTATATTTTCCGCATTTCTACGAATAATTAATGATATTGGGACATTAGTTAATTCTACACTTAGTAAATTGACATACCCATTTAGTAAACGATCCGTTTTTAGTATTCATGCCTTCTTCGAGTTGCGTTGCGCGTATACCTACAGGACTGTGCAGCGCAAAAATGTTATGTTTTTGGATTTTCGTGTCAGCTATCGCTGTAAGTACGGCCAAAATGCTTCCTATACTGTCCGATCAACAATATTCAGATCGGTGGAAGCAATTTATCAAAAATGCAAACTGTTCTAGTTTCCAAGTGTGCTATATTGTTAGCACCAACGCGTCGTGCTGTCAATTTATTACAGACCTATATTTAGGCTCTAGCCACTGCAAGAGTGTAATCGTGAATGACTTAGTCGATAGTCACCTGATTCAGGACAGTGCCACGTCTACCATCGTCACTATGGTGGCTTCCCTTGATGATGTGTTCGGAGTGGCAGTAAAGATGGTAAAAATGAATTTTTTTCGCAATCTCGGGTGGTTCAGGTTCGTCGTTTGTAAGAAAATATCGCAAAATTCGTCTATAATGAAGACACTGGAATCGATTTGGAATCACGGTCTCTTGAATTACGATTTGGTGTACCATCGCGGTACACCAAGGTCGTTGAAGGTAGTTGAGTACGACCCATTTTCAAGACAGATCAGTAGCGGTGTTTCAATGCGGACGCGGAAATCGAAATGGCGGTATAATATGCATCGGTATCCAGTAAACGTAGCGCTCGTCTCATTTGATAATGGAAATAGTCCAAATCTCCGTCTGGGAATGTATTTTGACGAGATGGTAGTAGGTGCCTTTAAATCCATTACCAACGCCTCTATAAAAGTGATAAGGGCACGAAATATATCACAGTTCTTGAAGTATTTCATATCAGGACGTGCAGATTTCAGCCCCTTGATAGTACCAGTATCATCTATGCGATATATGGCCGACCGAGTCGATTTTACTCACCCTCACGCTACCGAAAATTTTGTAGCCCTAGTGCCCAAATATGAACGCAGGCAGTGGAGGGGCGCATTTTTCAATCCCTACGTGACTATCATGATAGTTCTATCGTACATACTCGTGGTTGTTGCCGATAAGTACTTGACCATTAGAAACAAAAAGTTCACAGCTGACAGTTTTTACTTAAGCTGTTTCGGTATGCCCATCGAGGCTTTTAAAAATAACAAAACAACAATTGTGGCTAGTTGGCTCTTGTTTAATATCGTCATACAAGTGATCTTCAACGTGCAAGTCATGAGATATGTGCTTCTTCAGTACGTCAGGGTCGAAATAAATTGTATAGAAGATCTAAATAAAAGTGGAATGAAAGTCTTTCATATAGGCACGGAGGAGAATATAACGGCCCATCAAATCCGGATATCATCGCCGAAAGAAATGGCCCGGCTTGTACTCCAAAATACGGCAAACGCCGCGTATGTTGTGCCATACACAATGGCTACGTTTATTCAAGAGTACTCGTTGAAAAGAGACAAACCGTATCAATACCAAATTATAAAGGACATAATAGAACCGAGTTGGGGCTCCTTTCTCGTTAAGAAAAACTCCCCTTATATGAGGGCAATCGACAAAGCGGTATCCGTATCCAGGACTATGGGTCGAGGACCAGCGATACCGGCCTCCAGGCCGGAGATCAACGAATCCGCGAGTCGACTAATAAAAATCGATGAATTCTGGTTTCTGTGCAAGATTGTATTGTTGGGATCGTACGTGCAATGCGTTGTCGCATTGGTGATGGAAATTGTCGTGTTTAAAATGAAAAAAAATCGGCGTCGAAGAAACATCTCTTGAGTTTGTTTTGTCGTCACTTCGTATCCAGTTACAATTCGTATAACAAAATTACTTATAATACACATTGAGTGTTATGGACGGATTAATTTTAATTTCATCGTATGTTCAATTAACTACGTACAAACTTTTCCAAAGTATTAATTGCCATGCGTGCCTGCACGCTAATAATTTTTGAAAACATTGCCATAGCGTATCGCCAACAGCCACAAAAAAAGAAGCCTCAATTTGTGAATTATTATTGCTAATTTGTTTTACATTTAGATGGGTAATTGAGTGCGTTAAACAGCGAAAATCACCTAAAATTGCTTTATTATTATATAATGCGCACACTATAGATATTTTAAACGGCGAAAATAAATATCCTGTTCATTGTTAGATACTATTTCACTTCCAACAATTGGGCGGTAATCAAGCGCGCGTTGAAAGAGTTTGAAAAATATTATTCCTACAATTCAGAACCAATAAAATGGGCGTTTTGCGTAGGTTTCGTACAGATTGTCCCACATCTCCATTTCCTTAACCTTCCCGTTGGGCTTCACTCGAAGGATCTCGTCGATGTCCAGATATTGAATGTCTATCGGCGAAACTTGCGGCCAGGTTACGTTCAGGAGCGGATCGGACGCATCAGGAGTGGGATCCCTGAAACCACGCATTAATGTCAACTGTTTTTTTTCACACTTTACCGTAGTTATGCAATAATTTTTGGACACTCTGAACAAATAAATAAGTAGCACCAAAGCTGAGTTTTATTGTTTCTATACTTTTGATATTAAGACATCTTTTTTTTTGGTTAACAGAAACTCACAGTGTTTTGGCAAAATTCGACCATAGCTTAACCATCCTCTTTCGCGTTAAATAATCTGCTTCTGTAGCCAACGGAAATGTCGATATCTTGAAGAGGTAAGCCAACTCGTCGGAGTGACCTACTTTACCGGCACCTACAACCATCATCATTCGACACCACTGAGTTAGCGCTACTAGGAAACGAGATGATACCTTGAATTGCAGGACGGTCTTTGCTTCTCGTTCCAGCAAAGGAAAATTGGTACCAATAAACCGGCGTATAGTTCGACTGGATCTTCACTTGCTTCAGTGTGGATCTTCCAAAAATATTATCGCTGAAATACTGAAAGCGAAAGTTTCAACTGAATACTAATATCGAAGTGTTACCACTAATTTTGTTTGAGCTACCTTCAAAGTTCTGGACAAATCCTCTGAGAACGTTCCATCTCTGCCGGCGTAAGTTTCTTTGATTGTTATTCCAGCCTCGGTTAGGTTCGCGTTCTCTAACGGTACCAAACCGACAGGTAGCAAAGCAGTTACATCCGAATCGTAAGACCGGGCTGCTTCCTCGATATCAGAAACAGCTGCAAAATTTAGAAGCGTTGTTGAAATGAGCGGGTTGACGAATTAAGGCACATACTGGAAAGAAATCCTAGCGATTCTTCGGAGACTGTTCCGATGATGAGCGGAACTTGGTTGAAATCTCCTGATTCGAGCAAAGGAACCGTTGGTTCCGTTATATACGCGTCTTCGTCTTTTACTTCAACAACAGCACCTAGCTGAAAATTTTAGTTTGATTTATAGCACAACCGCAACGTAAATTGAAAGATGAGTTGTTATGTTTTTCTACGGAAATCTACTATGAAGGATGACCTGCGGTAGTTTTAAGATATTAAGACTTGCACGATAGGGTTTGATAAGGTTTATTGAGTTACTGCTAGGTATCTAGTTGGTCAGTATTGGTTCTAGTTTGGTTAGTTAGCTTGCATAATTAATATGTTATTTTAACTTTGTACCTTTCTAATTCGCAATCAAAATAATAAAAAAACGTTTTCTGTTTTGCTTTAGTCTGTGTACTACGCGTCTAACTCTTGTACTTACTTGTACGCCTAACTTAGTTCCTGCCTCGTTCAAAACTTCGGTAGATAAACTTTGCAAAAAGTCTCGTACCTCCACTGTCGTGTTCCCTTCAGAAATGGTTGGATCGATAATCTTCGCTAAATTGTAAACGTTTTGTCTGGCGTTGACCTGCAACACAGTCTCCAAGGAACATCCGCTCTGGCAAATGGCGGCTCTGAATAACCCCGTGGATTTCCGGTTGAGGATGTGAGCCCCGACCGAAATGCCACCAGCACTCTCGCCGAATATCGTAATCTTCTCGGGATCACCACCGAAGAACTCGATGTTTTTTCGCGCCCACTTAAGTGCCAGCAGTTGATCCTTCAGGCCGGCGTTACCCAAAATCGCTTTGTCTTCGGTGGACAAAAAGCCGTAAAAACCTATTCGATAATTCACCGTCACTGTTATTACATCTTGATTGACCAGATCATCGGGGCCGTAGTAATCGTATGTTGCACATCCACCGACAAACGCACCACCATAAATCCAAAATAGTACCGGTAATTTTTCGGAGATCTGGAACAGTGGTATTAGTAGAATATTCCCATCGCTCATACGAGAGTAGTAACTTCGCGGGCAGGGGTGTAAACGTTTAAGAAAAGACAGTCTTCGCTTTGTTCGCCAATATCTGGATCACCCTCAAACTGTACTTGCACAATGCACGAAGCCCCAGTTCGATTCGCTTCTAGCATTCCTTCCCATGGTTCCGAAGGTAAAGGAGCCTGCATGTACAATAAAAAAAAGATTAACAACCTTGCGGTTCATTTAAGTTTAAAATTCGACGACATTAATTATGTTACAGCACCAGAATGGACCACTTTTTTAAACTTAGATTATTCGATGCGCCACAGGTTAAAAATCTAAGTGATAAGACATGTTAAACTAGAGAACAAATATCCACATTTAAGAATCAAATCTTAGTCCGCCACTAGATATGTTTATATAAAATAAATGAGTTTTTTGACAGATAACAATGAACTGATACTATGAAAAACACAGTTATTACACAAAAAATAAGGAATACTTTTTTTATATGGTGGCGAGGATCTATCAGCACCTACCTAGCGACGATATTAATATCCTTCAAAGTAACCAGTTCCAGAATAAACTAACTAAAATTGCTGATCAACAAACTATTACATAGTTTTTTGGAATTTGTTTCTTAGAGAGCTTTGTAGTTTCCAGTTGTTGAATGATATTTTAAGATATTTTAAATACAGAATGTCTGCCGATCGCAGTTTTTACCTGAAATCTCAATTTTCCAACAGGCGGTCGACCATAGGGTATTCCTTGAAAGGCGTACATGCTGCTGCTTTCCGTTTTGATCTCATGACCCCTTACTCTTCCGTCAGGGATGTCGACTACGAGATCCGCAACCTATACGCAAGCATATTTTGTGTCAACAAATGAGTAGCAAGAAATGAATACATCCTGGAACGAGTAGTTTACGCAGATTAGACGTTTATGCGTAAATCTGCGAGAAAAACACTTGAACGTGACGAATATTTTATTTATATTCTGAACGAATGTATTGTCGTAGCGGGTGATATATCGATCAACAAGGAAAACTCTCGGAGAACAACCAAAGCAAATTTAAACGTTGGTGAATACTCACGGCGGTTGGCACAAATGCAATAAGCACAAATGCGTTCATGGCGGCTGTTGTTGCTATAATCATTATACTCCAATTTATACTCAGAAAGTAAGCACTTGAAGATGAGTTGATGATACTTCTCCCACCAGTAGGTGACTGGAGTACAACGTCATAGAAAAATGGAAACAAGCATCGCAAATAGTTAAACACATAAGTATATCCGGTCAAACAACATTTAATGCAACACCACAGGGTGTTACGTATATAAGAGTAAAACCATCCATGAAGTTTATAATAAATAAATAAACAATTAAATAAAAATCAATTTACTATCTACTTATATTTTTAATTAATAATTTTTAGCGCCCCATTTTATTGAAGTGATTAGGTGAAAACCATCTGTGAAACTGTACAGGGTGTCCCACAGGGACACAAAGTGTTTAAAGGTTGTTGAGTACGACCCATTTTCTAAAAAAATCCACAGAGGAATTTTAATGCGGATGAGTCCGTCAAAGGGGAGATATAACATGCATCACTACCCAGTAAACTTGGTCGTCGTCACATTTGGAAAGGTAACAACTCCCTTCATGTATTCTGATCATATGCTCGTAGAAGCTTTTAAAGCTATTACTAACGCCACTGTAACGCAGCTAAGTGTACAAAATAAATCTGAATTTACAACGTACTTCGTATCGGGACAAGCAGATTTCAGTCCTTTGTTCGTACCCCAGTCATCTATCTTTCATTTGACTAATCAGTTTGATTTTACTTACCTGCTATTTTGTTTTTGGTTGTTGTTATTGCTGATAAAGTCTTGTTGCTAATACATAAGAGGCTCGCCCGGACAGTTTTTTCTTTAGCATGTTCGGCATGCCTATCGAGACGTTCAAAAAGAACAAAACCCTGATTGTTGCCAGCTGGTTGATGTTTAATATCGTCATGCAAGTGTTCTTCAATGTGCAAATTTTGAGCAGGTATTCCTCCAATATGTCAGGGTCAAAATCGCATACAAGGAAAAACTGATTAAACGCGGATTGAAGGTTTTTTCTATAGGTACTATGATAAATTTGACGGATAACCAAGTTCAGATATCATCACCAGAAGAAATGATCCAGCTTATACTCGGCAATACTTCAAATGCCGCATATATCGTGCCTTACACAATGGCTACATTTATTGTTAGTTATTCATCCAAAAGAGATAAGCTACATCAATTCCAAATTACAAACGAGGTGATACAGCCAAGTTGGCGCTGCTCTGTGGTCAAGAAAAACTCTCCGTATTTAGGTGCCATCAACAAGGCGGTTTTAATATCTATGATGATGGGACAAGGCACTGAGGTGGCGGGAAACTATTTCATCCACAAATCAACTAGTGCAATTCGATCAAATCTCGAGCCTATGCAAATACTATTTGCTACCGGGCTACGTTCAATGCACGGTAGTATTGGCGCTGGAAATTATCTTGTTTAAAGGGCTAAAATACTGGCGTCGAAGGAGGTTCGCCTGAGCTTGTTTTGTAATCAGTACAAATACAATTTTTGCTGGTCTTGCTGTGAACAATTCTCACTAATCATAAGAGATAACACTAAACTAACGTCACATTGCATTATTTTTGTTCATTTTGACTTAGTAGTAAGACGATCCCCAATAAACCAAACTCTTATATAATGTTGCCAGGGTGTCATTAGCCATCCAAAAAAGATTTTTTTATATAAACATGGCTTAGGTAATGTTAAATATAAAAAAAATCTGCCCAATTTTTGTTGACATTTTTTAATCTCATATACATCGGGCTAATTTTGCTTAAACTTAATTATACAATTGTCCAATGCTGTCCCGGGAGGTAAATTTACAGTTACTGTAAGAACAACTTTTATGACTCTGCAGATGCTTTTGTAATAAGCCTCGTTTTCTATAGACACAAAAAATCTCAAAAATTGACAAAAAGTATTTTTCTCAACATAGATGACTACCATCAGATTTGTTGCAAGCTAAGACGTATTGTTATTTTTCTTTCTTTCTCTAGCCGAGCATTAGAGAATGTATAAAACACTCTGCACATTACTAAGTTGGTTTTCTTTATAGGAGCACAACATAACAATATTGTACATTGTACGAGGCTTTTCGGATCACAAATTGATTGGTTATGAAATTCACCCAAACATATCCGAATACAATTGATGTTTGTATTATTAAATTGAAAATAAATATTTAGAAAGTTTATTTTGCATGTTTTTCCTTATAGGTATGCATAGTAACAATAATTTCGCGCTCCACAAACTACCTAATTTCCTTAAAAATTCTATATGAAATTCTCTACTACTAAGGTATTGGTGGTAAAAGGTCGCATGCTTCATCTAGATAAAAAGAATAAATTGTTAAATAATTCTGAATTCTCAAAAGCTCCCAGTTTTGCAATTGGTAGTCTGGTTATTTTTAAGAGTAAAATAAATAATATGTTTAGAAACGCCAATAGCATAAATATCAAATTAAAATGACAGGGTGGCATTGGTAACCATTCTGTTGATTCCACTTCATGCTTGTTAAGGTATATAGTCGCCCTATGAAAGTTTATTCCTAAATCGCTAAACAAAATCTAATGGAAACCAACTATAGTTTACTTATGTCTCAAATCAAATAACAATAGTGATTTTAGACGTCAGAATGTTGCCTTGCTTGCCAGGACCGTATCATGTCGAAGCAGCGACGGCGTTACTTCTGGGAATTCCAAAAGCATGTAACCAGTCTGTCTACTAGGATTAAAAGAGTTCGTAGAAAAAAACATATCTATAGGTATGAAACAATTACCCTATATAAATTTATTCCATAATATGTAATTTACAAAATAACAAGGGTAAGCGCTAATGGCATCAAAGAACGCTTAATGGACACGACAACGAACAGAGTATCGATAATAATTTGAGGCGCCGGCATGTTCTTGCGACTCGCCATATTTTTTTTGACGACCGTATTATGTCGGTCCGACGATGCTGTTACGTCCAGTAAATTGTCCAAACTCGGGCCGATCGATCTACGAGATATGCAAGTGGAAATACAAGAGTTCGTCGCCAAAACTAGATCTACCCAGGAAACCTCTACGTTTGCAACGTGCCACCTCATCTACCACGCGGGAAGTTATGGGTGCTACGAAATCATCACGTTCCTGTTGCGGTTCACACGATGTGCGAAATTTATCGCGCACCTAACCCAGCAGCAAGGAGGGGGTGGCAACTTTAACGACACTCTCAAAACGATCACGATCATCGCTTTGGAGAAGATCGTTAACTTTGAGCGTCGGTTTTATGGTCTGATTAAATCAGATTTTTTCCAAAACATGGGCAACTATTTGTTCGTCTTGTGCGCACCCAACACCCATAGCGACAGCGTGCGTACTATGCTCCACACTGCGTGGAATAACGGCGTATTTAACTTCGACGTTTTGTACTTCAACGATTCGGCGAAACTTGTTCACTACAACTCGTTCACCGATCAGATGGTGTCAACAGGAGTGCGTGAGATGAGTTACAATTTTGCCATGTTTCCTGACAAACTAAAGGACATGCACGGACATACTTTGCACGTGGCCATTTCGGAGGACACGGTGAAGAAATTGTGCGGGGAAGAAAACGATTCCAGTATTCTATTCCCGAACTGGTTCGCCCGAGCACTCAATGCCTCCACCAACCTCACCGTGGTGAGTTCAAAACGTAAGTTTTCTGGAACAGCCTTAAAAATGTTCGCATTCGGTAAACTAGATTTCTACCTCTCAACGATCGCAATAAACTTGATGAATAGCAACTCACTGACGTTCTCTTACCCGCACATAGTGAACAACATAGTGGCGTTGGTTCCGAAGCCGCAGATGATACCGGCTTGGAAACACATATTTTTCGTTATTCCTCCTAGAGTACTGATGGTGATTTTGGTCGCAGTGATAGCCGTGCGGTATTTGGACAAGTTGGTCAGCCATAGAAACAGAATACGGACCGCGGACATCTTAGGTTACGCGGCTGCGTGCTTTGGAATGTCTTGGACGCCACTTAGGAGGCACAAATCTTTCATCACGGCCGGTTGGCTTTTGGTAACCGTCGTTCTGGGAGTCGTCTTCCAGTCTCTGTTGCTGCGCGCCATTTTGACAGACAAATTCGTAACGGGTGGAATTAGGACCATCGACGACATCAGAAAGAGTAACTTGACGGTTTATACGTACATCCGAACCGATATCGGTATACCTCGTGCGATTCGCGTCAGCAAATTTGAAGTTCGGGAAATGGTACTACAAAACAAACATGATGCAATATACGTCATGCCATACGTCGAGGCTAACTGGTTCGTCGAGCATTTTTCCTGGTGCAACAAGTATTTCAGCTTGCGGATTATGTCCAAGGCCGTTATGCCTAGTCTCGGAGCCTATTGCGTCAGCAAATATTCCCCATACCTCAGCAAACTTAACCAGTGGTATTTGGAATTTCGAGAGATAGGGCTTAAGGCTAACAAATTAGAGTTCAAGATGCAAGTGGACGCGAAAGAAAAGACGTTCAAGTTTGAGCATTTTCAGGGCACCTTCGTGTTCTTGATGATCGGGTGTACATTGGGTATCCTCGTCCTCGCTTCGGAGCTCATCTTTTATAGATTTAGGAGGTTTTTCAGACACACCCATCATAATGGCATAGGCGAGTAGGCAATGGCCAATATATTTTAATAGAGTTTCCTATTTGCACTATTGTGTACGTATTGCTGTTAATATAACACATGGAATAAATAGCCTGGCGTGAAATAAATTATGTAGCGTTATATAATTTATAGCAATATATTGGTAGCATTTAGAATAACGACCGATAAATTGGACTGGTCTGTACCCCACAACGTCAGTCAGTCAGTATGCAAAAAAATGTATTTTCTCGGGGTCCCTTACATACCTGTTTTTAAATATTTTGCTTGCCTAGTAGTTGTAGTTATTAAAAATATGTTGCTACTTGATGTATTTTTTATTCAGTTTAATTCGCATCACCATGAAATCCAATATGGAGTGTATTGCATCCTACGTTCTGAAATTCCGCAACTTCTGTGTCCT